TTGGTCTGAGGCCACATTTGAACTCAGGTCCTCCTGACTTCAGGGCCGGTGCTCTATCCACTGCGCCACCTAGCTGCCCCTAAGTTTCCAATCTTTTTAAGTGCAGTACTATGAAAAACTCAACCTTAAATCAACTCAATAGAAAAGGTTGCTATGTGAAACAGCTACCTAAGTGGCCATTTATAAAAAGTCCTTTAGCATCCTGGATATACCTAGTTGTTGAACACAGGGAATGATTTCATGGTATTTGTGTAGCTCACACAGGACCAAAGGCTATTTAAAGGGGCAGTCATCACTACGTAAACTATTGCGCCAAAACATTCTTTCCTACGGATTCCAACTGCAATAAGACAACATGCTCAATAGAATCTAGGGTGAAATGTTAAAAAAAAATTTCTGGTCTTCATGAATTCAACTAGAGTGTACCCACATGTATTGTATAACAGCTAATTAGAGGACACATTATGTTTATGTTTCAACTTTTCCATAAGTTCCTTCTGGAGGCCTGTAATGCCTTGGGAAAGCCTTCAGCTGCAGGGAATTAAATGCATACTTGCGACATCCAACATTCTTCATTGTATTTTCTCGCCGACAACCCTCACTGGGGAAAAAAAAAAACAAGCACAAAAAATGACAGCAGTAAAAAAGGAAAAAAAAAACAAAACCAGAGACTTAAACTAAGATGAAATGAATTGTTATTTTCATAGCATTAGAAGAACTTATTAGTTTAAATGGGTGCTTGACTCATCTGCAACTCTAAATATTAAACATCTGAACAATAGAATTACAAAGCACACTAATGGATGCATGCTTAGCTGTGCAGGTTTTGCATCTCCAAAAAGCAGCAGTGTATCTAAGTGGAAGAAAGTTCAAAAAAAATTTTTTTTAAGATGGTTTCATGTATTTCAGGATTCATGGGCTAAGATCTTTTGAGGCTATGCTATAATATAGTCTCCCAAGACATAGCTTGGAAGCTGTTCTGCTAAGCTAAATTTTAAAATGGTTTATCTTAGAATAAAAGTTTCAAAAGAATCATATTGTTCCCTCTACTTTAGGAATAACTATCTTAGTTGGTTATGTATAATGGAAAATGACACTTTTCCCTCAACAAATCTGACATGCAGCAAAAATGATACAATTGAAGAGAAAAAAAAGCAACCGACTTTATCAATATCGGCTATTTTGGCTGTGGAAACAGCTGCTTGGAGTGCAAAGTGATCCCAGTGTTTCCATGCACTATACAGTTGTGTCTACATGGCCATCACAGGTGGACATTCCCCAAGATGCAGCCCACGGCAGGCTCTTTCACCAAGCAAGCCAGTGGAGGCAAAACATGGAGACTGAGCCACGCCACGCCATGTTCTTCACAGAGACCTGGTCCTTGGACTTCTCTTCAGCATTGGTTCTGGGACAGATGGCCATGGTAATACATAATGGCTTAGCAAATGCTGAGAATGAGTCCTAGGTATTAGGCCACCAATTCTTCACTATGAAAAGTGGGAGAATTTGAAGAATTCTTGGGGAAATTTCCCTATGTAGACACATATAGAAAGAAGAGGTAAAAGCTGTTGAAAATACAAATGTTATAATTTCCCACCATACTGTCCTCTTGTACAGCATAGCTTTGTTTTCACACTACCCTAAGTTAGATATTAAATAAGCTAGTTATCAAATTCATTACAAAATTGCCTTTGATGATATGTAAAATTTATAGTTACCAAGAAAATAGGAATCTTCAAAGATTTTAAACAAAGTAAATATCTTTCTATAATGTTACTATGCCTTTTCCTCCTTTCTTTTCTTGTCTTTTTTTTTTAAAAGAATGATTATGGTAATAGTTCAAAATGTAAACTGGAAAATCTCAGAATATAAATATTATTCCTACTATATTAAGTATTAAATAGCCAAATGCAAAACATTTCTGGCACGACATAGTTATTTTATTCAAAAGCCAGGAAATCTTTTTAATATTCTCTATCTGCTTACCACTAACCATTTTAAATAGCTAAGATATGCTTATTTCTTATCAGTGCCTTGCATTTATCAGGTATTTGTTGAACTGAAAAGGGCCCAAGACTCTCAACATAAAATAACTCATCAAAGCTGAATGTCTGAATAATACGGTCACAGATTCTCTAGAAACTGTTGCTTATTTTTTGCTCTGTCTTAATCATAACTAGACAAAAATATACCTTTATTTAATATAACACTACTTATTATATATTGCTAACAGACTTCTTTGATCTTTGGGAATTTTCTTTTAATAGGCAAAATATCTAAGCATGAACATATGCAGAAGCACATTCCAAACATGTATCTATCTCAAAACACACCTGTCACCGCTAAATTTCAAATTAGCTAGCAGGGAAGAATAACTAGTAAGATCACAGATTTAGAGAAATAATATAGTCTAAGCCCCACATTTTATAAATAGGAAACTGAAGTTCAGATTAAGTGACTTGCCTAATGGCACACAGTGTTATAAAGCTTTTATTAAATATTACATGCTCTATTTCCGTTAACACCAACTATCTCTTCTAACTTAGGAATTCTCTTTTGTTTAGCTAACCAGTTATTTTCTTCTATAAATTAAAATCTAAAGTATAATTTTATTACAATTTAATACAGTACAACTGTAGTTTCAGATTGTAGTAATATTGTGTTTTTAGTATTACTAAAAGAACAGAAAAGACTAAGGGAGATTTTAAAGTACCACTTCATAGGATAATAGAGCTAGAGTGGAAGGGATCTCAGAAGCCATCTAACTCAACAACCCATACTTTACAAAAAAAGAAACTAAGGTGACTTGTCCAAAGTCACACAGAGGCAGCCAGTAAATACAGGTCTTATGACTCCCAGATCAAGTGAACTTGCCACTAAACCATAAACATTCTAAACCTTTCATTACATTTAGCATAGTGTGTCCAGTTTTGATTAACATATTTTAAAAGGGACATTAATAAACTGAAGGATATCTATTTTTTGTTGTTTTGTTAAATCGTTTTTCAGTTGCATTCAACTCTTTGTGACTTCATTTGGGGTTTTCTTGGCAAAGATACTGGAGTGGTTTGCCATTTCCTTCTCCAACTCATTTTATAGATGAGGAAACTGAGGCAAACTGGGTTACGTGATTTGCCCGGGGCCCACACAGCTAGTAAGTGTCTGAGGTCAGATTTGAACTCATGAAGATGAGTTTTCTTGACTCCAGGCCTGGCACTTCATCCACTGTGCCACCTAGGTGCCCCAAAGAGTGTCTAAAAACAGGGCAAATAAATGATGCAGGGATTTGAAACCATGCTCATATGTGGTTGAGTCAAAGGAACTGGGAGTATCTAGCCTGGACTTGTGGAGGGGAGGGAGGAAGACACAATTATTGTCTTCTGATATTTAATGTATTGCCACGTGGAAGAAGTTAACTCATTCTTAGTCACAGAGGACAGAAGTAGGACCAAAAGGAAGAAAGAAATTAGAGAGAGGCAAATTTTGACTCCTGGCTAGAAAGAATTTCAATTAAATTAACTTTAAATTTAAATGAACAATAACTAAATGCTTTCAAAAAAGAAAGGGCTATGATAGTGAATAGCGAATTCCCTGAAAGTTTTAAAATGAAGACCATATGAGGACTTACTGGAGGTATTATAGATACAGTTCATGCTTCAGTTTGGGATTGGACTAGATGAATTCTAAGGTCCCTTCCTATCCTGTAAAATGGGGATAAGAACAGCACCCACCTCAAATGACTGTAGTAGAGATCAAGTGAGATAATATATGTAATCCTTAAAGCACTATATAAATGTTAGCTATTATTATAGTTCCTGTCTTGTAATTCTGTGATTCCATGAAATGTGTTTGGATTTCATATGTCCTAACATACAGTCAACTTATCATATAATGCTGGATCAAATAAATTATTATAGTATTTAACCTTTGGAACTGAAGAATAATTCATGAGTCTGCTAATTATTGTCCCCTTTGATCGCAGTAGTTGAAATTCTGTCCTTCAGAAAAATGTATCTGATTTTTGTTCATTTTGCCATGCATATACATTTAATAAATGGTCATTAATTGAATTTTTTTTAAAGAGTGTACCTTGCGAGGCTAACCCAGGGTGTTGAATTTTTAGGGGGCAACACAATGCCGCCCCAAAGGCCTGGAGTCAAGGACAATTTTAACTACCCTCAAGTCAAAGGAACTTCTTTATATCAATAAAACAGACTGAGAGATTTTTTTTTCTTTGTCTCTTTTCGAGTCTATCCATTTAAAAAGGAGAAATCAGGATATAAAGATATCAACTCACTTTAAGTAAGATAATTGGTTCTAAACACTAAAGATTGGAAAGTGAAAATGAAAGTTAAATGAACCTGTCACTTCAGGATTCATCCAGATGTATCTATTACTTCAGATAGCTCAGAACAATGCATCATGTGCCAATGGAAGATTTAAATCTTTTTTGGGGGAAAGGCGGGTTGTTTAGAAAAAAGAGAAAGTGGGTTACTCTGACTCAGAGTAAATGTCTTCATCTGGACTAGGGCAAGGGCCTTAAAGTTCCTACTTAACTTGTAATAAGAATAACTAGAAAACTAATTTATATCATTACTGAAGAAAAAATATTTCCCTTCTGAACTTGCTAGGTTCCGAGACACAGAGAACTAGATAAACACAAATGTCAAATATTGCCTTTAATCTCATCCCTGACATTATATAAAGACTGTAAAAAACTGAAGTGAAAAGATTTACTTTCTGCTTTCTTCCATAATCCTTTCTCCTTCCCTTCTCTCTCTCTCTCTCTCTCTCTCTCTCTCTCTCTCTCTCTCTCTCTCTCTCTCTCTCTCTCTCTCTCTCTCTCTCTCTCTCTGTCTCTCCAGTTTCTAAGTGTCTCCTTTTCCATCACTACAATAAGGACCATAAGTAATAAGACATTTATATAGTGACTTAAAGTTTGCAAAGTGCTTAACATCCATTATCTCATTTGAGTATAGATTAGGAAGAATTTTCTATCATCAAGGGATGCTACAGCTACTTTATTGGATAAATCAAAGAAAAGGGATACAACTCTTTTTTTGATTGCTATACACTTGTACACAAAGAAGCATTCCATATAATCTCATGACATCCCTTCCAGATCTACAATCATAGGGTTACATTTTAAATGGTATCCTCAGATATGTGTTAGGTGTCCTGAGTTTCAAATGAAAAGCTTCATGCTCTTGTGACCCAGTCCCAATGAAAACTCATCCAACACACACACAGAGACATGGATGATCCATGAGAGTATGGCCAAAAAATGAGGAAGACAAAGTACACAGGTTCTAGGAAAGTCACATGACAAAACTCCCTCCACCCCCACCCTCACTGGCCTCACCTGGTGTACCAGTGGGCTACAGGACAGATTAATGGGAATGGGGAGGGGGAAGTGACGTGAAGTGGGGTTGAGTATGGAGGAATTGTGCTACTGAACTATCATCAGTATTCATGAATCAAACATTAAGGCCTACTGATGATAAAGGTCCAAAGCAGTACATAACACTGTCAATAGGGCCATCTTTGAATACAGAACTTTTTTTTTATTCATATACATTCATACATATGGCATTCTTTAATTATTGCACATAGCAAGTACTTGATATATATTGAGGGACTAAAAGTGCAGTTAGTGAGGAAAATCATGACCAGCTGTAGCATATGGGACTTAGGTTAGCCACAAGAAAGAATCTGTATTAACGATTACTGGATAGTGATATGAAATCAGCTCTTCTGGGGCTTGTTCAACAAGAGCTTTCTAGAATAGGTGAGCTAATGGCTCAGGTTCTGCCTGAAAGCTGGGAAACAGGCTGAATTACATTCCTTCGAATTTAAGATTCGATGGAAGAGGCATGATTTGTTCATTCCTCACAATATACTCCATTTACAATTAAAAAAGAAAGCAACTGATCATCTTGTTAAAAAAAAAAAGTATACACACAGCATGCTCCAATATAACAAGTCTCATGAGTGGACCATATTTAGATCCCAAATTCTTGAAGGAAGATTACAAAGCATTGCATGTGTGAATTTAGGAAAAGCCAAATAATTTCTAATTAGAAGATTGTAGACACACAGCTCCAGCAGTATTTGGGGGTTGGGGAACAGAAGGGGTCAGAAGGGATTAAAAAGGAAGGTAGAAGCCCTAGGGTGTGTGGCAGGGGTATTTCTTCCAGAATTTCTGCCCTTGAGTTTGCTGGCTTGCCCCTCAGTACTATCTGTTCATATGAACCATAAAAAAATTTGAAGACCATGACACAATATCCAATTGGGGAAGCCCCTGAGCAAATTTTGAGAATCTTAAATTTTTTTTTTAAATTTCTCAAATCATTCCAAATGTTCAAAACCAATGAGGAGCCAATTTGATGAAATGTCATTTCTTACATGTTTAATAAGTGTTTCTTGATGGATTACCCCAGGCAGCCATGCAGAGCCTGAGAGTAACACCCTTGCATAGTTTTAGTAAGGAAATTATGCAAATTCACTGGTACTGGGAAGAAAAACCACTAAGACATGGGTTTAAAAAAATCATTATAACAAAAAACAGAATATTTTCTCAGTTGAGGACTTTAGTTTTTCCCCCAGTTTTCCCTTCTTACTGTTGGTGTTTTGTTTATCTGTACCTTTCATTACAAAGCTGTAATAAATCTTCTGCAACAAGTGAATAGTAAAGTAATAAGCAATTTAACTTTAAGGATACTGTATATGTTAAAACTTGGGATGATAATTTAAAAACAAAATGAAACCAGAGTATACTTCTGTGACTGGCATTTGTCAGTCATGGATTCAGAGGCCTCAGAAACCAACCAAAGACAAACTTTCCTGGATTTCTGAATATTATATTTGGTTGCTAAGAGAAAACAAGGCTTCTGAGTTTAATATGCAATCAAAGATGCAATACTTAATGAAAGGATGCTATTTTAGGGATAAAGAGATATCCTAAAAAGCCTTTTCTGACTATCTGCTCAAATTCCTGTAATCTCTTTGATGAATTCTTAAGAACAGTTAAAAAGAATAAAAAGTAAAGTCATATGCAGTAACACTAGATTTTCACATATTTGGTGTGGCACAGTATGCTATCATAATCACAGCTTCATGATAAGCTAAGTCAGAAAAATTTAGACATAAATAAGGAAAAATGTTATGGCTCTGCAAACTGTTTGCTACTGTAACTTGGGGACTATGCTTTGAAATGAAAGCAGAGAATATGCGTCCTATTAGATAGGCATCTCTAAACAAACAAGTTATAAACCCCATCTATTTGTCTTTTTCTTATCAATCCTCTTCAAAAGGAAAGGAAAGCCCAGCATACACTTAAGGAGTATACAAAAGATACAAATTCTTTTCAGACAAGAATTCTTTCTCTGGAATACATGAAACAGGGAACATGAAGCATATAGATGACAGATACGTTTAAATCTGAAGGTAAGAGAAATATTTGGTAAGCGTAACTGATCTTCAGGCCGGCTACATTACGAGGCAACAGGGCACTGTAAGAATGTTACAAGCACTGAAAGCAGAATAATCAATTTTACGTTTTCAATACAGATCCTCAGGATAAAATAATTTGATGGGTATTTATAGTTCAGTACAATAGAAATGTCAAACTGTAAGGCATAATATATTTCTTGGCAGACAACACTTTGACACATTCCTTCTGTCCAGCTAGGTAATAAAGTGGTGATACATATTCTAGAACTTTTTTTCCCTTTATAACTTAATGACTATTTTTTAAACTGGTCTTCATTTGCAACGGAATTTGGCCACCAGGTATGCAATGCTCAGAAACAGCCACACAATCAGTAAATTGGGGCTCAGGGCTAATAAAGGAATGGAGTAGAGGAGGCTGGGATCTAGTCTGAAATCTCGGATGGGCACCAAGCCACTCAAGTTCTTCTGGGTGACTACCTCCCGTGTTCCAATGCTGTGAAAAGGAAAGAGTTTGGGAAAAGGAAAAAAAAAGAAAAGGGAAAGAGAAAACAAAAAGGAGGAGGGAGACAGAAGGGAAGGGGGAGGGAAAAAACCATGCAATGAATGTATAAAATATAGGAGAACCAAAAAGTGAGATGGAAAAAGGTTAAAGAAACCATAACAGAAAGGGAAGATGGTGTATGGGAAGGAAATGGTTTAAAAAAAAAAAAGGCCAAAACAAAACCAGCACAATTACAAGAAAAATAGGAAAGAGAAAGAGAATAAAGAGAAAAATAAGAAAAAGTACTGTAGTCTACTGAAAATAAACACATGTAGGTTGAATAAGAATGGTTTTCCATGTTCACTGTCTCTTAATTGGCCAAGCAAAATTCCATGCTGTCCTGCCATGCCACATGCTGCACAAAATGGAGCTCTGAACAGCAACCTGAACATGAATAACCATTGTAGCATTTGACCCTCTCACATATGCTTCAGCATGGGGAGGTGCATTTGGTTAGCTAAAGCTGCCTTGGCTAACTCTGGAAAGGATGACGTTTTAACTGCAAGGTTACTTTACCTCACAGGCTACAAGCATCAAACCAAATACATGGATTTTACCATGTGGGGTGGGGTGTTGGGGTAGTGGGTGTGTGAAGTGGCAGTTAAGTATACTCCCACTCCCCAAGTTCTTCTAGATATTCTCCAGGAATAAATCCGTAGAGGTTGTACTTCATCATCTCTGCTGTCTCTTCCCACACTTCAATTATGTGAAAATGATCCAAGCACTTCAGGTATGGTTTGACCAACGAGTTCTTAACCAGGGGTCTGTGAACTTGTTATTTAAAAAAAAAAATTTTGACAATTATTTTGACATAATTGATTTCCTTTGTAACCCAAACCTCATTCCAAGAAGGGGTCAACAGGTTTCATGGGACTGCCACAGGAGTCTGAGACATACACAAAAGGTTATGAACCTCTGGGTTACACTGCATTATGTCTGAGGTTCCCTTAGACTCAGAGATTCTGTGAACTTCTTCAGTTTGAATCACTGCCTCTTCTGAACACTAAACAGCTACAGTTTGAGGGTAGGCATGCCTGGAGACCCATTTGCAAATCACCTTACTCTGTAGCTTCCGGCACGGTTATCTCAAATACAGAAATCATTCTTAAAGCCCAATGCATACTAAAGAGGCCCAGGCAACTTGATGATCCAAGTTAGAGTACTGTTGACCCGAGATTCCCCTAAGTTTGGGGCAGAGACATTCTTGGGCACTTCAAACCACATCTGAAGCATCTTGAGCAAAATGAGTCTTCCTGAGCCCTTAGCTCAGAGGCCTGAGAAGGGATTTGGATAATCTTGCTAGAGCCAGAGCCAGAGTCAATCTGAACAAGAGGCCTATTTAATGGCATCTGAGTTTGTAACCTGTTGGTCTGGACACAAACCTAGGTCAACTACATGGGCTTTCAGGATGTTCCAACTCCCTACAGTAGGGCCATACCAGAGAGGGGAAAGGTAATACCCCTTTACTGCTAGCGTTTTTCTAGGTGGGGAAAAAAAAGGCAGACTGAGCCTCAGTGAAGTTCCCATCGTCACTATATAACTTTTATACTCCTGGTTAATTGGAGCCCTGTTTGAATTTACTTCTGAAGTCTACTCGTAGGTGGTGGTCATGGCCCCAGAATGTCACACAGACAGCTACTGGGTATTTCCATCTTCAGTGATGATGGTACGCAGTCCTGGTACTCAGAGGACCCCGTGGCTACAGTAGGTCAATTGTTCTTTTTTTTCAAGGCCAGCCCTAAACTTATAACAGGTTAGTTTTTTTCTTGGATATTCCTCTTCCTTATTAAATGGTACAACCTAGTGCTTGGGAAGAGAAAGGCAGCTTTCTCTCCATTACATAGCCTGGGGGTGTGTGTGTGTGTGTGTGTGTGTGTGTGTGTGTGTGTGTGTGTGTGTATAATGTCCTTTTTATTTATACTATTTTATATTATATATTTATATTATGATATTATTGAATATATTATATTTATATATTAATTATATGTTTATATGTGACTATATTTTATGTTTATGTATAATTAATATATTATATTTATATTATATAATTTATATTATATCTTCCTGGTATAGCCTGGAGGTTTCCAGGGTACTACAGCCCTCCAGCTCTGGAACATAATATACATACATATATACACAACACATGACCTCAAAATTCTATCAAATTTGTGAAATAAGCTAAAATGAGCCTGCCAGTTGCTGTAGGCTATGGCTGGAAAGTTTTTACTTCTTGACTCTCTTCTCTTGATTCCATATAGGGTTGAGACCCACAGTTTAAGAAGTATTGAAGGGGCTGCAAGTGGAAAAAGTTTAAGAAGCTCTGCTTTAGCCACTTCTGAAAGCAGGAAGCTATATCACCATAGCATCTCCCCATCTCATCACAACTGCCTTAGCTGAGAGATCTGTGTGAGTTTAAGAAGTAGATACAATCCACTAAACAGCTGTGTAGAGTGGAACATTCAAAGAATTTCAGAGCCAGGAAGGGACCCCAGAGGTTGTCCAGTTAAATTCCTATTTGAACAGGAATCTTCTTTATATTGACTTGTTTACAACAAGGATTTTTACCACATAGATTTGAATACAGCAATTGAAATCACCTATCACCTTCAGTGACTTAATCCTGTAGCCCTGAAATGTTAAGTACTAGTAAAAGACGCCATAACCATAATAGGGCTGGATGCCAAGATGTGAACATAGGCTTCCTTTTTTTAAGAGAAAACTCTCCAATTCAACATGTTGTTGAGGATAAAGTGAAGCTTTACTATTAAATTCAGGAAGTCTTTAAGTCTTAAGAAATTCATAGTGAGGCACAGTGTGTGTGTGTGTGTGTGTGTGTGTGTTTGCGCGTGCATGTGTGTGCATGAATGTGTGTGTGTATGTATGTAGGTGTGGGCATGTGGCAAAAAGAAAAACACGCTAGAGTGGCTCTCTCTGATTTGCCTGAGGGACACAAAGTAGTATTTTGGAACTATGTTTACATTTTCTTCCAAATGAGGCATTTTCCACATTGCACCACTAAGCATAACTGCTTGTTGGTAGCCTATCTGAACAGATATTTTAATGGAATTCCTTGAGGATTCCAATAAATCTGACTTACTGATTGTTCCATCAATAACGTAATTCACTCAAAGCCTGGTTTAATGTCCAAAGTCAATGATTATCCAAACAAAGGGTTAACACAGAATCACACAAATTTTCCCTCTTTTCTTTTGTAGTTTCCTCATTGTCTGAAATACATAATAAATTACTAGCTGGGATAAATAAAGTGCAACAATCCAATTTTTCTTTAAAAGATGCAGAGTGTGTAGCTCATTCATATCCTTTCATACCAAAGACACATTCTCCCACTTAGGGATCGTTTGTTGAATTTATTGGATTCTAAATAGCTGGAGGCAACTAAAAGTCTTGGCCACCATAGCATCTATCCTCTATGGAACTCCTTCTGGCTGATCAAGCCTCAGCTCCTTAATTAGATTAATAGATAATATTAATAATAATCAATAGATTAATGAGAATACTTGCACTCTATGCACTGAAAAGCAACTCAAGCCCTTGGTCATCATCCTAGTTAACTAAATGAGGATGAAATTCTAAGTAAGCTATCTGGTCCAGGAGCTGACCAAAAAATAGACATTCACAGAACTTATATTCTTGCTGGAGATTTAAAACACCCACAGTCTTGATTCTATAGCATCTAAAATGAAGATAGTGCAGTGGTCAGCCCTTGTCAAAACGCCTAGCGCTGGGGAAAGGTGTGGGAGGCTTTGTGCTGATTCAAATGCCACTTATTGTGAACCTGTGTTTCTACCTTGGTCTTATGGCTGAACTTGGAACATTTGGAAAATGGGGCAAACTTCTGATAGGACCATGCAAACAATTTATGAAGACAGAGGTAACTTTCTAAAGGCTCATTCCCAAGATAAGATGCTCTGTTATAGTGAGTTGTTTTCTAAATAAAGGGCCAGAGGGAAGAGGGTTTGCTTCTTTAGAGGTATGTGCCATTAGAATAGTGCATAGGCCAGTCTTTCATTACCCATAGCACTGTAATTTCAGGTATCTTGGATTTGGGGTAGCAGGACTGTGGAAATAAGCTTGTGCTTTCATGACATTCATACTTTCTCTGAATCCTTTTATTAAGGGGATTTGTTTTGTGAAGTTTGGATTCAGTTAAAAGGCTGCACTTGAGGACCTTGAGGGGCAGCATATGTGGCCTTGAGACTACAGGTTCCCCACCCTGGCAGTCTAAACCTTTCCCTCCAGGTCCCTTACCCCTGATTAATACCAGGGCTTCAAATTCTGTTGGAACTACAAAGAGGAGGGGAGGAGAGGAAGAGAATAGTGAGTGAAAGGAGAGGGAAGGGAAAGAGAGAGAGAAAGAAAGAGAGGGAGGGAGGGAGGGAGAGAAGAAGGGGGGGCATAGGATTGGGGGGGATGAGGGGAAAGGAAAAAGGGAAGACTAACATGAATTCCATTCTGATTCATCTCAAGAGTAAAATCATAAAGAAAAGGGACTAATATTAAAGCGGCAGCAGCTCATACATCTTTTTTATGCATCTGAATATTGTGAAAGGGTCAAATAGCAGAAACATACAGAAAGGATAAGAGAATTGGATACTTTAGAGAATTTGGTGAGAAGACAAACAATACAGTACATTCAATAGGAGTGAATGTTGGAAACAGGACTCAACAGCATTGTTGAACTACATTGAATAGAAAGACTAAAAACTGCATTTCTTATCCTTTCTTTTGGTATGTGAAATAAGGAGCTTTCCAGCAGTGCTTGAAACAAGGCATTGAACAACAGTAAACAGATCGGATTAAAATACAGTATTTCATTCAGCAAACACATCTGCCACTTCAGAATACAGAACACTGTTAAGTTGATGTGACAACAGCACACTGACAGGTTGGGATGGGGTTGGATTGCTGTTAGGAAACATTCAATCTGACACTTTGCTCATTAAAGCAAACTGTGTCGAACTGCTAAGGGGGGAAGCGTAGCAGACCAATGCAACCTGCAGATGTGGAGCCTTCATAAGACTGTAAGACCCTGCCCAGAAGAGACAAGGCACCCTTTGATAAAACCTGCCAATCCAATGGCCGCCGCTGTGTCAGAGCAGGGCAGCCCAAGACATCCCACACACCACGCCCCTTTCCAAGGGGCAGCTGGTCAGGAACGTTACACTGGTAAGCAGCATTCAATGTCCTCATCTAACCACCCTTCTGTTTTCATCTTATTGACTAGAGCAAAAACTTGATGTATAACTGCAAGCTAAGACATTCGTAAGGACTTTATTACTTTGGGGATAGATAACAGGATATCTTTGTTCAAACTTGGTAATGTCAAGTGTCTGATTTCATAGAATCACATTATCTAGAGCTGGAAATTCTGTTAGAATAGTCCAACTCCCTCATTTTACAGATGAGGAAAATGAGGCCAGGAAAAGTTAAGTGATTCATTCAAGATAAGTAACTGGCAGAGCCAATTGCAAATCCAGGGCTCTTTCACCGTACCATATGCTCTAGAGCAGTGATGTCAACCTCAAATTGAAATGGGAGCCATTTATATAAGGATTCATTTTATATACATATATATGTATATACATTGTATATAAGGACTCCTGTGGGTCTCTCATTAGCTTAGAAACTACATATTAACACTATCTATATTTTATTGTATTTCTATTTATTCTATTAAATATTTCCCAATTTAATTTTAATCTGTTTTGGCCAACTCTCAGGCTGGGGAGGTGGGGAGAACAGTGTTTAGTGTAGTGCCTGGAACACAGGAGGTACTTAATAAATATTTACTGCTTGATTAATGCCTCTTCTCTAAGGATAAGTATATTTTATTTGGGAAAAGTACTGTCTGATGACCAGTTGAAGTTAACAGAACTGGGATTTTCTGAGGCTATTAAGAAAACCTATACCAAAAAAAGTTCTTATTTTAAAAAAAGCAAAAAAACCCACCAACCCAAAATACTATGCCTTTTCTAAAAAGCAACAATAGGCTTATAAAAAGACAACCACTTATCTGCAGTTTACACGGATCCTGAATTAGGAGTAAAGGATCAGAGAGCAATTCTGAGACTAACCTCCTCATGCAATCCAGAGCCTGGGTGAAGACCTGGGGAGCCATTCCATGTTCATGCTGCAGGATCAGACATTGCTCCAGGGTCACTGACATAGCTGTTCTGTCTTTGGCACTCTTGCAACTGGTAAATCGGACTCCATTGAGTCTTCGGCACACCTAGCAAAGAGAAGATGAGTCTTTAAAAAAATGCATGGAAAACACTTGTTACAACATGAAAAATATTCTGCTTCCAAAGGCTATAAAATCAACCTAGTTAAAAACAAACTAGAGAAAAAATAAAAAAAGTTTCAAGATTAATAATATCATAGCTTAATCAATAGAAGAGATGGCTCCCTCATTTCACCAATGAGGAATTGAGGCCAGGGTTATGAACGCAGATCTCCTGACTCCAAATCCAGGACTCTTTTCTCTGTATCACCCCTTTTCCCCTCCCTATTCTACTTTACAAGTTAACTTTTTTTTTCACTCACCATGATATACAAATAAGTAATAATTAAAAACTTTAAGGATGGACTATTTTGCCAGAATAAGTACTCCATCCTCTGATACAGGACAAAATGCCTCCCTGGTATTTGTCTGTCTCTGAATTGCTATGGCTGAAAATAATCACCACAAGGCTTCTGTTCTTCTGGTAATAACTTTCTTTATACTTAGCTAGGCTGGTCCTCATAGGACAAATACACAGTCTGTGACTAGCCCTATGCAAAACCTTGTCTATCTTATTATAACCTGCCAGAAGTGCATTCCATTGACCTAGTTTTTTAGAACCTAGAATTAATTCCATAATAAGGCAACAGAGTAGGGCTTTCTTTCACTAAGGGACATTAGAATCATGATAACTACTACTGACATTTAAGTCGCATACTCCCTGGTTTATAAAATATTTCTTCAATATACCACTGTAAGGTGTAGGTATTATTGTCAATTGATCAACCAATCAATAAACCATTTATTAAGTATCTACAGTATGCTGGCTACTTTTCTAAGTGCTAGGGAAACAAAAAGTAACAGAAGACAATCCTTGCCCTCAAGAAGCTTACAATCTAACCTAAGATGATAATATAACCAAATGTAATCTAATCCCTATTTTATAGATGAAGAAAATGAGGTCAAGAGAAATTACAGCTAATTAGCTAACTCAAGGTCTCACAACCAAATAAGGAGGCAGAACTGAGGTTTGAATCAAATGAATTACTCCAAATGAAGTACCTTTGGTTCAAAATTGTAGTACAGGATGAAGGAGGCATGGCTAAACAATAATTTCTATGAAAAATACCTGGGATGCCCTACTGGACGGCAAGTGCCACATTAGTTAGTAAAGTTAAGTGCAAGCCAAAAAAAGCTAACGTGCTCTTCATCTGAATTTATAGAAGGACTGTGCCTAGAATAAGTGGGGTAGACGTTTTTATTGTTTTCTTCCCAAGTGAGGCTACAGCTGGAATATCGTGTTTAGTTTGGAATGACGAATTTCAATAAAAAACTTAATAAGCTGGAAAATGCCCAGGAGAAGGCAACCAGGATGCTAAGGGGGCTGGCAATCAGGTCACATCAAGTTAAGCTGAAGGAATCAGGGATGTTTAGCCTGGGGAAAAGAAGACTGGGGTGGGGACCTGAAAGGGTGATGACTGTTTAAGCATTTACAGCACTGTCAAGTGCAAGAGGGATGAGACTTTTCCTGCATAGCCCCAGAGGACAGAACTGGTAGTAGGGCTATAAGCTGTGGAGAGACCAATTTAAGCTTGTAATAATATGAATTTCCTAGAGCTACCCCAAAGTAGAAAGTACTACCTTGGGATAGGGTTTCCCTTCTCTAGAGTCTTCAAAGGCTAAGTGATCACTTGGTGGGTCTATTAGAGAAGGGATTCCTGTTTAGGACTAGATCACTTCTGAGAGTCTGTGAGGATACTGAAATTAAGATAATGAGCTAACTACTAGAAGTATTATTAAAGTGGCTAGGACACAGGATGCTCTACATTAAGGTACTAATTAGCTGCAGAAAAATCACAGAGTCAAGAAGAAAGTCAAGGGTTAAACTGGGGAACTTTTGGCCAAAATATATAAACTATCAATACAAATGACCAATGTGACACAGAGGACTGAGAAGCTGCCACTCCAGGCCTACCCACAATGGGCTTTACTTCTATACGCAAACAAGCTAACAGAATCTATAATAAATGAGATGCTTACTCATTACTTAAAAGCAAACAAAACTGACACAACCTATTTGTTAGAATGTAAAGTCTTAAGGGGCAGGTACTGCTTAGTTTTGGCTTGGAGTAGAAGTCAACAGCTCTGGGTTCTAATCTTGGTGTTGGCAAAAACCAGCTGTGTCTCATTAAGCAATAATCCCTTCATTTCTAAGGCTCTCAGTTTCTCCACCCATGAAAGAGATAATTACATTTGTACTATCCACTTCATATAGTAATATTACAAGTTATTACTAAGGACAAATGCAGAGACAACATGGTGTGGGGGACAGAGAACTGGTCTTGAAGCCAGAGAGACCTGGGTCCAAGTCTTGAGCCTCTGACATATGCTAACTGTGTAATCCTGAGTAAGTCCCTTAACTTCTCAGTGTTCTAGTCTAAGGCAACTCTCTGAGAAGTTGTGGAAAAAGTGCTAGCCTGCATTAGAAGAGGGAGTTTCCTCACCTGAGAGCTCCTTACAACAATGAAATCACTGATTCAGACCCTACTAAGGACTCCAAATACACATTTCTAACTTTCCAGGTCAAGTACACCTTCTCAAAAAACAACCTTTGCTATCTCTATTTGAGGAAATATACTGAGTTGGATGGACAGACCCATTTCTTAGGAAAATGAAGTTCAGATGATAAAAGCATAATTTAGTGTAGTTACTAAGGGAAAACAAATTGAATAAATATGAAGTTGGGAATAGACATATATCAGTAAATGGAATTAACGTCGGAGAAGCTTGGAGAAGTTTCAGGAGGACACAAAGACAATTAAATCAAAACATTAGCTCTAACTAAATTAGGTCTAAAATGAGATTTTTAAAATTACATCTACCAAAAATAGTTTTCAAAGCATATAGTTTTCATAATAGTTTTCAAAGAAAAGAGAAAGAGAATAAGTATTTATAAAGAGCCTACTACGTGCCAGGCACTGTGCTAATAAGTGCTTTATAAAAGTAATCTCATTTGATATAAAGGACATTGTACATCAATTACAACTCTGAAAAATGAACAGGAAGGTATACAAACACTGCCATATAAGGGATTGAGATGAGAGGTAATGACTTTATCAAAGGTAAAAGTTGGTCAAACATTAGAATGAGTCACTGAAATGGACTATGGAATTCCTTTCTCTAAAGGTATTTAAAAAGGAGGAGAGTCTCATCTTTCTGGGACACTGTATAAAATTCATTAGTGATCACTAAAGAACTGGTGGTTGTTGGTTTCTAAGTCCCCCAGGAAAGAATCCTCATCTTTTTGTGTGTGTCATGGACCCTTTTGGTTATCAGGTGATACCTATAGCTTCCTTCTCAGAATACTTTTTAATAAATAACATAAAACACATAGGATTACAAAGAAAACTAATGATATTGAAATTGTTATCAAAATATATCCTAAAAGAATGAGTTCCTAGACCTCGGGTTAAGACTTTCTCCCCAGAGGGACTACATGGGGTGGAGAGGTAGGGGGGAACGAGGATGAAGTCCTTCGCAGGACTCTACAATGTCAACAATCCAGTTCCCAAGTACCAGTCTTTTTCAGATACTTTTAAAGATAATCTTTTTAAGGTACCCTCCCCAGAAAGAAAGTAGTCCACAGATCCCAATGGACAATTCATGTAAGAAGCTTTCTCTGACCACATTCTTTCATTTAGTTTCAGAGTTTTGGATATAGGCGTCATCTTTTTTTTTTTATTTCAATCTGACTTTTCTCTTCGTTCAGCCCTAATACTTCTTGTCTCAACTTGTTCTGCAGGACCTGACTATCTTCATGTTTCTCCCTCTTGAATCCAATGCCTTGGCTTTCCCTCTCTCCCTTGCCCCTTACCCTCAGGCATAAATCCCCGTTTTCACTCTTAACCCACAAAGAGATAACTGTATGGATTTGGAGCCAGAAAACCCAAGTTTAAAAAAAAACATCTGCTCACCTGTGTGACTTTGGACAACTCAACCTCTAGGAGAGATCATTTTTTTCTTAGGAAAATGAGGCTGACCTCTAAGGTCAATGATGCTCTGCTGACCTTAGGGTCTTCAGTTTCCCCTCATTCACACCTGCCTAATGTCCCACTATCAGCAACGAGGAGCAGGCACAGTTTGGCATCCAACTGAGGTATCTGCTGCCCTCTGCTGGCTTCTGTTTGGCTCACAATGAGCGGCCGAATAAATCCCCTCAGTGGTCAATGTTTCTGCTTCTGCAGGAATGCACAAGTTCTCTGCATTGACAGCGCTGTCATGCTACTGGTGATTCTAACTATGCAAGAACTTTCCCATCTCTAAGTAATGGAATGACTATCCATAATAAGGGGCGGGGGGAGAAAATATTTAGAATGAGAGCGATTCTAAAAGGAAATCAGAATTGAGGTGTATAATTAGGATATTTCGGGTGACTGTTTATGAGAACTAGGAAGATTTCTCATTGAACCTGTTAAAAATCTCACTTGGGCAATTTGTTTCCACAGATACCGAGAGCGCTCTCTGTCAAGTGACAACTGTCACCTTGGATCTGTCATTCCTTTTCAGAGAATCTCAAAACTGGAAGGGACCTCAAGGAGCCATCGAGGCTAGCCGGTAACTAAAGAAAAACCCTCTCTCCAGCTTCCTTAAACAAGTGATTTCCAGCCTCCACCTAAACACCTTCACTGATGGGGGATCCATTATTTTTCAAAGCAGCCCATATCAGTTCTGGATAGTTCAACTGTAAGGAATTTTTTCCTTTATATCAAGACTAAATCTGCCCCTCTGGCACTTTTTACCCACAGCTCCAGTTCTACCCTCTTGGAACAATGATTGTTGTTGGTATTCAGTGGTTTTGTGTCCAACTTTTTGTGACACAATTTGGAGTTTTTTTGACAAAGACATTGGAGTGGTTTGCCATTTCCTCCTCCAGTTCATTTTACAGATGAGGAAACTGAGGCAAACAGGGGTGAAGTGATTTGCCCAGGGTCACACAGCTAATGTGTCTGAGGCCAGATTCGAACTTAGGAAGATGAGTCTTCCTGACTAGGCCTGACACTGTATCCACTGCCCTAATAATAGTGATAGCTAGCTACATAAGATATCTTACTTTGTGCTCAGAACAACCTTGTAAAGTACTTGTTATTAACCCCATTTTACAGATGAAGATACTGAGGCAGAGAGTGGTTAACTGATTTGCCTAGGGTCACATAGGTAGTAAGTATCAGAGGCAGGACTGAAACTTAAGTCTTCTTGCATCCAAGTCCAGCACTCTAGCTACTGAACCATTTGGCTGACTCCAAACAATGAAACCGGCTCATATTTACATAGTCCTTTTTTAACATTTTCTGAAGGTTTTCTTCCTATAAATCCTGTGAGGTAGGTTATGGAAATAAAATTATGCTCATGTTAAAAGATGAGGAAATGGAGGTTCAAAAGGGTAAAATGACTCGTTCCATGAACATACAGCTAGTATCAGAGCCAGAACCTGAAACCAGGTCTTCTGACCCCCAGGTCGAGCTCTTTCCACTACATGGAACTTGCTAAAAGCAAATCCCTTATGTGAATTCAGATTTCTCCCCTCCTCCTCCCCACCTTCAAGTCTTCTCTTTCCCAGGACAAATGCTCCAAATTCCTTAAGTCAGTTTGTGTACACCATGGTTTCTAATCCCCTCGCCCTGGTCAAGTTCTCAATGTCTAATTTAAAATGTCGCACCCAGAACAGATCATACTCCCGTTGAGCTCTGAGCAGTGCATAGCACAGCAGGACTATAATCTCTCTTCTCCTGGACAGCATTAAGTTTAAGAGGGTGTTGGCTTCTCAGAAGGTCATGCCTTACAGCTGTGACTTATGCGCTTGTAGTCCCACTAACCACCTCTCCTCTCTCGTCTTTGTTTTTTTTTTCTTTTCCACCCTTAACTTTTATCTGTGTCTCAGTCATGTTGATCCATCCTTTACAGTTGTTTTTTTTTTTAAATATAAGTGTTAAGACTTTACATTTACTCTTGTTAAATTGTATCTCATTAGATTTGGCCCATTTTTCCAGAGTTTGGAGATCACTATAGATTCTGTTTCCATCATTCAGTGGATTAGCTTTATCTCTGCTCTTTAAGGCTCACGCTTGACAGGCCTCTGACAGCCCTAGTTTTATCAAATGAGGGAGTAATTCAGAATATTTTTCTAGCACTTTGGGAAACACTGTTAGGCACTGTGCCTTAAAGAGGCAGGAAGATAAAGCAATGACTCCTCTAACCCAACCAATCAATACCTCGGCTGCTTGCCAGAGAATGTCAACATTTTTATTCTTCCTGGCATGTACGTTCTGTCCAAGAAACCGCAACAGCTCAGGCAGGCACGTTTGACTACGAGATCGAGGTAGACCTGAAAAAGAAAGATCAAACCCTGCACAGTTAATGGCTCCATCCACTCATTCTTATGTCCCTCTCTCCTCAAATATACTGTCTGAACACAAACTGTACTTTCCCTGAAGATCTGGCCTCCACAGAAGTCTCAGTGCCCCATATCATGGCGCTCTTTGAGAAAGGAAATAATGATGAAGGTAAAGAATGCAGTGAGGAAAAGAGAACAAAATATCTTTATTTAACTGGAAAATATATAAGAACAAAACTTCTCACAGTTAAGTTCTTTTTTTTAATGCTGTGGTTAACACTGTTTTCATTTTGAAGAGATTTCATTTTAGGGATACAGCCTGGGCTTATAAGAACAATATAGTAATAATACTCAGAAAGAGATAGGAAGGAGCTGTATTTAACTGCTGCAAACACAAATTTTAATCAGAAAGTGGGGGTAAAAGATAAGCTTAAGGATGGAGGCTCCAGTTGCAAACCAGGGATGAACTCAGGGATGCTATGTGATCTTCTAGTGTTTTTCTACTGCTATTTCAATTTTCATGCTCATCAGGCAGTCACATCATCTTCTTCTAGCTAACAGTACACCTAAAGGAAATACTTTAGATTTTCTGGATGATTTAAGTGTAGAATGAAAGACCTATTTCCTATTCTGATTTGATGTCTTCCATTTCCACAATTAGTCTGCAGTCTCTCAGTGCTCTAACACTTCAAAGAGCTCATCCCTCCTGGCATCACTGAGGTTTTATAGATCGATCAGATCATTCCATCTTAGGAGATTAGGAAAACCTTGCTGAACTTCAAGGAAAGGCTGTGCTACGACTAACTTTCTCCCCAAATAGTCAAGCACAAATAGACTCATGTCAATGAAAGATCTGGAAGAAAAAACCAAATTAACTTCAACTATTCCTTCTCTTATACCAACTACCCTAATGCAGTTATATACCTTATTGTACCATCTTGTGACCATATCTAATTGTTTCATAAAGACTGTGAGCTTCATGAAGACAAGGACTATGTCTTATTCTTCTTTAGTATTCTCCACAACCCTTAATACAGTGTTAGCATATAGGAAATGCTCAAAAAGTGATTAATTGATCAGGCTCATAAATAACTTAGTCTATGGGCCCCAACCTTATAGATCACTGACTCTCATGGAGTACTTTGCCTAACTGGTGAGACCTCAGAGATCCATTAAATCCAAAAGGAATACAAACTCTGTTTATTGGCTCCTCTTCAGCTTCCATTAAGAACTTTAGATGAGAAATAGAATTTGAAAGATGAAGCCAGATATTGCTACTTAACCCTCTTGCTTGCAACAATGAGAACTATCAAATAAAAGCATGGTGTTTGTCATTTGTTTAACATTTACCAAACCTCTGTACTGAGTTGCTTGACTTTTCAATGAGGGTGGGTGGGGTGGGAGGAAGGGAGAAAGTTTGGAACCCAGAGTTTTAGAAACACATGTTTAAAAAAAATGTTTCCACATGTAGCTGGGAAATAAGAAATACAGGAAATGAGGTACAGAAATCTAAGATGCCCTGCAGGAAAGTGGAAGGGGAAGGGGATAAGGGGGGGGGGGGAGAGAGAGACAGAAGAGAGGGCAGACTGGGGGAAGGGGTATTCAGAATGCATGCCATCTTGGGGTGGGGGAGGGGCAAGATGGGGTGAAAATTTGGAATTCAAAATCTTGTGGAAGTAAATGTTGAAAACTAAAACTAAATAAATTTATATAGAAAAAAAAACATTTACCAAACCCTTGGAATCTTATGCAAGAGCAAGGACATTTCCACTGACCATGGAAAATATCTGTGTAGCAATAGTTTCAAACTCATGATTGAATCCATCTCTACTTCTGAACCCACAGCAGTTTAGAGAGATGGGCATATGCCCCATTCCTAAAGAATTCCTCAAACAATGAGTAATCTTTAAGCATCTACAATGTGCCAAGTACTTTGCTAAGCTCTATGTAGGATATGAAAGGACAATACATGGTTCCAGCTCACAAAAAGCATCTATTCCACTCAGAAAAAAACAAGACAGCAGACCTAAAAAAGTGCTAAATTTAGTGGAACAGATAAATGGCAAAGGTAATAAATAGACCAATGGTGGCTGAGATGGTCAGGGAAGATTTCCTGAGAGTAACAGTAATACTTGAGCTGGGTAGTATTTCAATAGAAGGAATAAAAGGAAAAGAACATTTTAGTAATGGGAAATAAGGATACTTAGGTAGGGTAGGTCCAGATTATGAAAGGCTTCATAAACTAGAGCAGAAGAGTGAGGATGCATTAGGGCAGGCAATAAGAAGCCCTTTTAGATTATTAAACTAGATTAAAATTTCAATTTATTAAACATGAAAAGGCTATTTTAGAAAAATGTATCTGGTAGTGGTGTGATAGCTGTGAGAATAAGCAAAAAGGAATAAATCTAAGTGATAATAGGTACTTAATATCTATTGAATTAAATCGTGTCATGACCTCAATGGAAAAAACAACTTATACTTTCTGGGGCTGAAATTCACAAAAATCATCTAGTTGCTTCACAAAAGCATTTAACTAACATACAAAAAAGTATTTTTTATTAAGAGTATTTTTCCATTTTGCCATAATTTCAAACAAAGAGCTTATACATTTAAAGTGCCTGGGGGAAAGGGGCACCAGGTAATATCTAGAATAACTAAGAATATACTCACAATCATCAGGTAAAACTTCCTTGAACTGCTCAAAGTAAGAATTTAATCTCACCAAACTTTCCACATTAATAATTTCTTGCAAAGATGTGTCTCCAAACCTTTGGAGGTTAGAAAGGAAATATAATTTAGTCTGGCAGTACAGCTTTTTTCTTTACATTTGATTTTTCCCCATTAATGCAATACAGTTTCATATGAATCCTAATATTTTATAGCCTTCTTCCTCAGAACACAAGGACATCCTTTTTTTCCCATATCAATGATTTTTTTTTTAGCCCTGTGATTTCATAGGGATATGGTGGTCCTGGGAAGTAACTTCACTGACCAATGAAGACTGATAGCTTCTCTGCAACTTACAGCCTTTAAAGAGTTGTCTTTGACAATAAGAGGTTATGTGTCCTGCTTAGAAGGTATGTGTCTAAGGCAAGACTTGAACCCAGGTCTTCCTAATTTCAAGGCCAACTCCCCATCCACTTTCCACACTCCCTCCATTAGTGCCACCTGACATATTTCTATCATGTGTATAATTTTTGATTCTGCATAATATCTGTTATTTATAAATACCCAACATATGGTCTGTCTGAGCTTGGAGATTAAAGGATCCTACTGTTAATCGTGGCAGGACATTCCCTTATTAGTAGGCATGCTGATTAAATTGTTTTACTTCCTCCATTTTCTGTAAAATAATCATCATACTTGTCACTACCTAAGAGAGCTCTCAGGGAAGTAAATGGGAGTTGTTAAGTCATTTCAGTTCTGACTCTTTATGACATTTGGTGTTTTCTTGGCAAACATACTAGAGTGGTTTTGCCATTTCCTTCTCCAGCCCATTTTACAGATGAGGAAACTGAGGCAAGCAGGGTTAAGTGACTTGCCCATGGTCACCCAGCTGGTAAGTAACTGAGGCTGGATTTGAACTGATGCCTGAGCACAAGTACTTTAAATCCAAAAGCTATTATCTTCCTTTGAATTTAACAACATATTCTTTTATAATGTCTACCAACTACTTTGAAGGACATCGTTACTAAGTTCTTTGAGGGCAGGGACCATGTTATTCATCTTAGAAACCCTAAAGAGCTTAGCACAGTATTACTGTAAACATAGCTGGCCCAAATCAATAGTTTCTGACTGAACGGAAATAAGGCTAAGACATTATAATAAACACTACCAAAGCAACTCAAGGAGAATTTTAATTTTTTCCCCTTGTTTCCAAAAAGGTTGTTTAGATTTTAGAAAAGTAACATATATGAGCAGTGATTTGAGAGGGAGGGTATGAGAAAGAGAATGGAAAGAGAACCACCCCTGCCTTCTTTTTTAATGGGACCATAATCATCCTGCCATTTTCAGGCAGATGAGAAGGAGGTGACAAAGATAGATATTCTGATTTCGTTCTGTGGCTTCTGTACTTGAACACGGCATGAATTCACACATGTTGTTTGGTCATTGCTTCATAAGCTCCACAAAGATATAGCGGGGTTTCTTCCATGTGTCTGACAAGGTACAAAAAGTACTAAGAGCTCAGACAAATGTCAAATATTGTTACTTAACATCTGCTCAAGGCCACATCACACCTCTCATTTATCATGAACTTATGATGCTATATATTAGTTGTTTCTATATACATCTTGTCTTCCTTACTCTTGATGGCAGAAACTGCCTTATTTATCTTTGTATCCCTCTCAACACCTAGCACAAAACTGTACATACATAGGTGTTTAATAAGCATTAAAAACCACATTTTCCTTGCAGTGGAATGTGCCTCTTTCATACTTAATCCAACCAAAAACCCACTGCTGTCAATGAAGAAGCAGGACTTGCTTAATTGGGTATGTACCTCTCTGCCAAGGTTTGCTGTTCATTAATTCCCACGTTGAAAAGGACAGGTTGAACTCTCAGAAGCATGCCGCTCTGAATCTCCCGAGGAAGCACGTCAAATAGAGTGCCTGGCAATGGAATCCTCACATTAAATCCATCACTTCAAAAACAAAAACAAAAACAAAATGGGGGATATTAAGATGCCTTCCAGGAGAGGAGAATGACCTTAAAGAAAAGGGGTAAGTGGGCAATGGAGAAATTTACACTTAAATATAAGAAAACAGATATGCCTTTCAGCTCTTAGAAATTAAAATGTACACATGTTTTACCGATTTCCTGTAATTACAGGGAGCATGTCTGTTGATGAATTTGACATGGCCTGTGTTACTTTAAAGGTTACATTCCTCAAGTCCATAATTCCCAGACTCATGTCTTCCAACATGGCCAATTCCTCACCTGTACCAAAGAAAGAGAACAATGGATTTTAAACACCAGGTACTTAGGATCCGGATTTCCCCTCAAGAGAGAAAATCATTTACCTTTTCTCTTATTTCTGTGGTTTCTAGCTCCACAACAAACACACTATAATTTAGGTTAGCTCAGGGAAGAAAGCAAATCAGTAACATTCTTGATCTTTGTTAACAACAGAGAAAGTGCATTTGTAAGCATTTATTAAAAATCTATCTGCGCTACTTTCTTTTTCCATGGATAAATGCCAATGGTAAATCCTACCCTAGCTTTCAAAAGTGGTCAGTAGAAACATGGGCTATAATTTCAAAACTTATCTATAGTCTATAAAAGAACTAACGAAGAAGGTGGGAGCTATAGCACCTTAATTTCAGGAGCACAGAAAAAACAATATGCCTGTCCTCAGATAATGCTATATGTACAGTTGGACCTTGGTCCATTTTCCTTAGTAACCAACTCCTACCAAAGCGCTGCCTTTTCTTCTTTGAAAAAGAAATGTGCCAGAAATCAAACATTCAATTGCCCTTAGTTATCTAATGAGACTACTTTAGGGACAATGATATCTGGAATTCCAGAAGATAATTTCACTGATTTTATGGAGTGCATTTATGGAGTACATTTTATCGAGTGCAATCTCTTGCAATTAATGATGATGATGATGATAATGATGATAATAGTGATTGCTGGTATTTAAGGTTTGCAAAGTGCTTTAAAAGTAATATCCTCAAAATAACCCTGGGAGGTAGGAGACATTGTTATCCCCTTTTTATAGATGAAGAAACTGAGGCAGACAGCAGCTGGTTACACAGCTCATAAGTGTCTAAGGCAGGATCTAAATTCAGGTCTTCCTAATCCTAGGTTTAATGCTCAATCCATTGCACTACCTAGCAGCCCAAAACACTCCATCCTTTCAGTCTAGAAGGAGCTGTTCTCACCGTAGGTGCTGAGGAGGCTTTCAAATTGGGCCAGTAAGCCAATAGTGTAGAGTTGCCGCAGGAAACCATCATCATGTAGGCAGTTCCTCAGCTTGAGAATGAACCCACAAATGAGTGCAGTCAGCTGTCACAGAGATGGAGGGGGGGGAAAGGAGGAGGAAGGAACATAAAATGAAATAGGTAAAGAGAAACATTTCCTCACTAAAGCAACAGTACAAGAGGACACATCCCTCTGCCTTCAGGTCTTAAGTTCCTTTGTCTTTATTATTCAAAACAGTTTACAGACGTGAAATTATTAAGCCTCTGGACCTCCTAGGAAGACTGGTAGGTGGTAAATCTCTTAATTTGGGGGATGTTGGTCAAAGAGCACAGGGGTGCAGAAGGGGCATGGGATGATGAACACAATGAGTGGGATGGCCTGCTATTCTCCTTAAACCCTGGTTTTTCAACCCAAGAGGCCAGTTAAATTCAAGCCTTGACAGTTCTGACTCAGTCAAGGAATATTCCTTATCTGAAGGTCTTTAGGAAACCTGGATGAATTCTGAAGTCATTCTGAGGATCCTGTTAAGTTTAAACAACTTTCTGAGAGCAGAACTATAAGCCCTATTGATTCCCATGAAACAACCTAGGACAGGGAATGAGTGCTGGGCTAGAAATGTGTTCACTTTGTTCCATTCTATTCAGTATGAGACTTCTCAAGGGGTCAGGCAGTGAGCCCCAGTGACTGATGAGAAACAAAGAACTCCTCACCTAAAGACCCAGTGATCTTTCCACAATGGCACCTAATTAATACTTCAAATTAATTTAAACTATTCCTTCGGCTGTTTAGACAGAAAGATAAGGAAAATGATTAAAACAAGGAATCTATACAAGCCACCACGCTAACGTAGCCCAATCGAGGGGGAAAATGGATTTCAAAGACAGTAAATCTCCACATCCCTCTGTCTGGGTCATTCTGTGTTTTTCGGTTTGTTGTTTTTTTTTTTTCCTTGTAAGACTGGGCCTCCCCTATCTCACCCATGCTGAAAGTGCAATTTCCACTCATGGACCTGAAACCACTACTGAAGCTTTAACCTTCTCTGTTTCCAACCTAGGCCAATTAGTTCCTCCTCTGGCAGCCTGGAGACTTCCCACTCTTGGAACCCACCACATTGAAGCTGCATTTAGTGTGGATACTCAATTGGCTTTAGCTCTACTCTAGTAGCTCAGTTCTTCTGAGCTCAATCATCCATCAGCCTGAGCCTCTTCAATAGAAGGGATTATAAGTATGTTCCACTACATTTGATGGTCATTCTTTTCAAACGCTTAGGAAAAAGCTCATTTGACTTATACAACTGCTGCTAAATCCTTGGCTGAAAACCTGCTTTGATATCAGAACCTGCAATGTGCATATTCTATTGGCTAGGGCTAATGCAATAAGAAGCCCACATTAAATCTGAGGGCAAAAGGGGTCACATCCCTGGCTTTTTGTCTCAAGTCCCAACAAGCTTGGAAATCTCCATTTTGTCATGAAACAGATTTGATACAAATTAGGGTAATTCGGCTATTATTAAATGGTGGGGTTGCCCTCCAAGATGGAAGAGGAGGAGGGAAGATTTGTGGGTAGTCAGTTGCTTTTACGAGATTGATCTCCAGAGGCCATTAGGCTACTGAGCGGCTCATCTAACAGTTATTCTGTTACAACATCCTTTGGCTTACAGTTTGGCAGAAGACAACATCCCTGCGATACTGGAGCTTCAGGTACATAGCTATTGTTGGAGCGCTGTCCTGCATTAACAGGAAGACCATCGCTTTCTTGGCCTTGTCACTCATCATGGCTACGCAATCTGTGAGTGTCGTCAGCAAGGGGTAAAGGGCCTCGCTCCATTCACCTAAGCATGTTGAGTAGTGGGAGTTGTGTGAAAGAAAAGAAGAGACAGCATGTTAAGAATCAGGCTCTGAAAGAGAGCAAAATTAATTCAGTTTATCCATTAACTAGCTCTGTCCCTTAATTCTCTTCTCCTCCAACCTCCATCCATCTTCTTCTCTTTCCAACCCAACCTTAGGCAAGCAGATAATAAACTATAGAAATCAAACTAGAACCACCCAGGTTTCCTAGTATAGTGGCTCTCCTAGAATACTCAGGGAGATATACTTCATTCTTTCTTTTTTTTGGGGGGGGGGTGAAGGCAATTGGGGTTAAGTGACTTGCCCAAGGTCACACAGCTAGTAAGTGTTTGAGGCTGAATTTGAACTCAGGTCCTCCTGACTCTAAGGCTGTACTCTATACAGTGTGCCACCTAGCTGACCTGATACACTGCATTCTAATATAGGTGATATATTCACAACCCTATGGAACTCCAGGTACCAAGATAAATCAATCTTAAACATGTTTTTAGAATTAAAAAAAAATAGCCATTCATTGTCTGCTATCCTATCAGTCACTACTCAATGTATAACAGCTAACCTATCAGTCACTGCACTCGTATTCATTTCTCAATGCAGGATCAGGGGTCCCCCAGGAGCTCTTTTATAAATCAACTGTTCAAGTTGATGCAGATGACCTTCTCTGAAAAACAGGATAATTTTTGCCCTCTGCCTTTCTGCCCTTCCTCTTATTAACAAAAAACATTTTCTAAATGTTCCTTCCAGTCTCACTTTTCTTATCTTAAAAGAAGTCTTTTTCACACACCCTTTTCTCAGTTCTCATATTTTTTTTCCTCTTCTGTTTCCTAATTTCTAGTGCCTCCTCAATATTCAAACATGTATTTTTGTCCCGGTATTCTCTTAGGAAGATAAAGACATTGTGCCAAAACAACTCTTCAAAAATAATACCACAGGGGAAAAGAAACAGGACTAGAAGGATGTTTTGGTTTTTTGTTTTTTCCCCTTTCTATTTTCAAGGTATTTCAAAAGTAGTTGTTTTTATCAGATACGTATATTTAAAAGCAGCCCCAGTCCAGAAATGCAAGTTTTATTATACATACTGGGATAATAGACCATACCAAACAAAATGTTGTACAAGAAGAGCCTAATCATCGTAGATCAGAGAAACTAGTGCCTTGAATAAAAGACTTCTACTAAGTTGGAAGGTATGAGGCAACAAAAACCTGATGGACTAATTTCTCTCTGATTAGAGAAAGTAAATGTAAGAAGTATGTTCACCGAAAGAGCAAGTAATCTTTTGCCTCATGTAATAAGACAGTCTAAGAAAGGGAAGTGAAGGAAATGACCACATTCTGCTTCTGCTGAGCTATTAAACACAATTCATAGCACTAAACTAAAAGAGATTTATCAAAATTCTCTTTTTTTTAGAGGTCCAGGGGACAGACAACTCTGGACATGGACAAGAGTCAAACAGGATGGGCAGGCATAGATGAGTTGTGATCTGCACTGATGTAGGCAATACACACATCAATGAGATGACATTTTCACTGGAATACTGGAGGAGGTCATACAAAACCAAAAAACAAACAAAAAAAAATCTCAAGTCTTGGTTGATATAAATTTTCGTATGGAAGGGAAAGTTCAAATTTTGAAAATACTCTAATTCTATAAGCAGGCTTTAAAAAGTACATGTGTCCATAAGCACATACCTATAAAGGAAAAGGTCAAGTTTAAATTTGGAGTCTTGAATGGAAAATCTGTACTAATTTAATTATGATGACAACAAAGCATCGAACTAGGACTCAGAAAACTGGAGTTCTAGTACTTACTTCATTACTAACTGCATTTGGTGTCACTTACCAATCTGAGATTTTTCCTTGTCTGTAAAAAGCATATTGGGATGGGGAGAGCTGGGTGCTCTCAATGGTCCCTCCCAATTTCAAATTCATATGATTGTATAACCCTACAATTTTTTTCAGAATAGATTTTTGTTTTTCTCCTAGAGACTTTGTCTATTGACATCAGTGCCATATAGCTATAAATGGCAATTTTCTTTTAGGAGCTAATTACTTTAGCAGTAAGTAGAAATTAGGATTCTTTTTTCTCCCTGTTTTCTGTGTGGTTATCAGTTTTAAGTTGCTTTCTCCCTTCTCCCCATTTGATAAGCTTATATGTATAATTAAGTTTATTTTCATAATTTGAAAAGAGATTATCATAGAATCTGAGACATGGAAGGGACCTTGGGATCTCACAATCCAATTTGTGAATTCTATGTGGTTTTGTCCATGCAGGATGACAAAAATGAAAGTGAAATTCCATCTTGAAAGAAATTTGTTTTGCATTAGTAAAGTTATAAGCATGATGAACTGTGTTCAATATTGGGCACCACATTTAAGAGAGGCAGAAAAGGGAGGCCAGAACATTCCTACTACGTAAAAGAGATGTGGTAACTATCTTCAATTTTATCAAAAGCTGTCAAGAAGATAAATAGAATACATGGGCTTATTTGTATAAATAGCTCAACAGAGTTGAACTAAGACAAATGAGTAGAAGCAGATTTTGACTCATGTCAATGGAGAACTTCCTAATAAATTGACGTGTTCAATACTGAAAGAAGTTGTCATATAAAGTAGTGAGCTATGGGCCATCAGGAGCACTGTACAAAAAAAGTTTCAGATGTAGAATGAGAGGTTTAAATAGCAAAGCCGTACAGGCCCTTCCAAAGCTAAGATTCCATAGTTTCATGTAGCTGTTAGTTTATTTTCATCATCAATGTTCTGTAATATCTTTAAAAAGTGAAAATTTCAAAGATAAAGCAAAGATGACAACCCTATTAGAGACGTCTAGAAGAAGAATTTTTAAAGCGAATTTTATATCCAAAGTGGCTGATTGAGTGGCAGAAAGTAAAAGATCCTTTATATAATAAATATTTCCTATACAACTGTAAATTTAAATATAATAAATTTAACCCCCACAAAAATGAAAAATCAAATAATTCATGCCAAGATATAAAGACTTATTACCCAGCGATTTCACTACTTAACTTTTGTGCATTGATTTTATTCCAGCAAAAATAAATAACTTGACATAAATGTAATTTATGTGAATAAAAAAGATAGGGATAGCAACTGGATTACTAATTTTATTGGCAGAGAATATTAAAATCTCCCTATCTGTATGTGAGCACCTTCCCTGAAACTTACACTCTGAGAAAACTGCCTAGGGCATTAAGAGGTCCAATAACTGTACCCTGTACACAGGGTCACTCACACAAACAATATGTTTCAGAGGCAGGATTTTATATGAATTTAAATATAATTTTAAAATCTCTAGAAAAGTGTATCTAAAATAAGGATGAGGAGAAATTACAAATGTGAACATTTCAAAGCCTAAAGTCTATTTTAGGGGTAGGTTTAGAGACACTCTAGATTAGACCACTGGCCTAATTCATTTTAAAACCCTTCTTTCCAACTCTCTCTCCTCCACTAGCTGCCAATCTAGACTTCCTCACAGTAGCCTCTAAAACTTGGCAGTTTGCTACCACAGTAAAACTAAAAAACAGCTGCTGATCTTCACTGTTAGGGGGTGAGCTTCCCCAAAGGAAGTTATCCAATACCAACAAAATTACACGTCTAGCCATTCCCCATGTTCCTCACCCAAAAAAAATCATTCGACTAGATAGTTAGTACTGTCTAAGATGTCTCTATCAGTGAACCTCAAAGCAAAATGGAAACTGTCCTGTCCTGTAATCATATTTAGGGGGAATGAACTGTTTTTTGCTCCTTACTGGCACAAAATCTTTCACTGAAGACTTCACTTAAGAGCCTTGATGCTTCACAATGGAACCAACAGAACCCAAGCTGAAAAGACTTTGACTATAGCCAAGGCTGAAAGATTTATTACTAGTAACGTAGCCACCTTAATGATGAATTTTTTGTCTATTAACAATTCATGAAAGCTATGTACTATGGCACTGAAGGTCTGTGATATGTGTTGGTGGAAGGAATACAAATATGGACTCCATCACAAATTCTTTGAAGTACTGATAACAAAATATATAGCAGGTGTCTGAGGTGGTATCTGAATAGTTTTCTCTGACTTTAAATTCAGCTCCCTATCCACTATGGCTTATTGCTTCTCTACTTAGGTACTTTAAGTAATTTTTGCTAATTTAGCTATAAATGCTACCCTAACTGTTAACTATCAACACCAAGTACAAATCTGCAGAAGCCATGAATGGAAAACACACATACCTGGGCTGGACTCTTCAGGAGGGGGGCTGCTATCTGCACAGAAATGGAGGTGCAACATGCATGATTAAGTAGCAGCAACACAGTCTAAACATAAGCAACTCAAATGCTTAGGGCAAGGGCATAAACAGCTTTCAGTAAAGCAACTGAACAAACAGCAAAAGATTGGCCATCAATTTGCTAGATCTGACCAGAGCTTAGCACAGCACCTGGCACATCGTAGGCACTTAATAAATGCTTACTGATTGATTGACCACATAACAAAGTGTAACATTAATGTCATCAGACTGCTAATATGAATAAGGATCTTTTTTTTGGTACAGAAATATTCTAATTACCATGCATAGACTATTCATATTCTTAACCAGTACTTTAACACAAAATGTTCATTAGGACAGAATTAACACTATAATGTGACATAAACCTTTGGAAAGCTTATAGCTGAATCACACTATGTAGAAAAGTTACATTTGCAAGCAAATATACAATGAAAGACCCGTAGAGATCTACGGATCTAATTAACAAAGAATGAAATTCAAAATCAGTTACCTGGAATAATGCCCCTTCCCTCTTATTCTGGAAGAAGTATTTTTGGGATTCAAACTCACTAAGGTTCAGTAATGAAACCATTATGCCAAAAACTAACACCTCATTTTCTAGATTTACACTGAATACCTATTGGCAAAAATTTCTGTACTTTGGGCCTGGGTGGGGGAGGAATTTAGTAACATTTTACCTACATATATTGTGCCTTGCACTAGAAGCGGATATTTTTTGGAGGTGGGGTGGATGAGGGGGAGACTGGGTCACTCTATATCACCCAGGCTAAATAGGGACAGAAACTTTAACCTGCTTCATTAACAAACTGGGCCAGTTAGTTCCTCTTTAGGCAGCCTGGTAGCATCTGGCTCCTGGCATCTCCCCCATTGGTGCTTAACTTAGTGTAGATACATGATTAGCTATAGCCCCACTGCAGCTCAAAACCCCCAAACTAATCTACCATCCTCAGCCTCCCTAGCAACAGGGATTATGCCCAGCCAGAAGTGATCATTTCAATTTCCCTTCTTTATTGAATCCTCTAGGGGTACTATTCAGTTGAATCTGATACATCAAAGATATGAAACTTTAAAAGTGATATTAAGAAGAAGTCTCCATTTTGAATTTTGCCACTTTGGTTCCATAGCTTTCAGTTAAAAAACAAGTGGCAGGAGAAAGACAGTTTTCTGGCCCATAACATTCATTTCTATTTATTTATTCATAGAAAATATACTAGCATCTTACAGAGAAGTCAACTGTATTCAGAAACCAGTTTCTGAGAAAGCTGTTGAGGAATTTTCTAAGTATGCTGAGCAGGCTGAAAGCCATTTTTTCTTGGATGACTAAATCAATCAATTAGGGAAAAACTAAGGGAAGAGAAAAGGATTATGTCATTTGCCCTAAACTTGGTGACACTGTTTCTCCCTGGTACACACTTCACGTTAGATAGGAAAAGATCATTCACTAAGGACTATAAAAGGAGGCATGTAGATTAGAGATTTTTAATCCCTGACGAATAATGCCATAGATAATGTTTAGAAATGGGGAAAAAGAAAAAGTAATGGTCTTATGATCTGAAGACTTTCAAATTGCTCCTGGCTCCTCAGAGATGGAGAGAGGTGGAGAAACAGGTATAAAAGTGACATCAAGGTCTAAACATAAGTTTAAGCTCTCAATCCATTGGAGAATGGCAATAATACTAATTCAAATTTAAAATGGCTCATCAAAGGCATAAGCCCAAAGAGTAGAAAAGTAGTATAAGTAACTTCAACATTGGTGAATAAATAGCAATTATGTTGTTGTTCGAGTACTTAGGGTGAAGAGGGGGGTAAAAAAGAAAGAAAATGGTTTAAGTAACCTCAAGTTTTGAAGTACTATAGAAAAGGTCACTTTCCCAAATTCTGCATATCCACATATCTGTGTGGGCATATTTTTGCTTAGCCTGCATTACAAGCCTAGCCTTTATTTCCCAGGCTTCCTTACACAGCTAGGTTCCGTGTCTTCTGGCAGCTCTACAACTTGTTTCTGCTGAACAAGCCCTAGTTAGCGCACAGCAGAGAGCCATGCCAGGTTTCTCATTAAAAGGTGAGGCGGAAGACCAAGGATGAAAGTAGAAAATGGAGGCTTAAAGGTCCTAAACCCCACTTACAAAAAGAAAAATAAAGGAAGAAAGAGTGGTTATTTAATAAAGATTTTGTGTAGAACCAACTACTTATTAAGCCAAAATAACTACCACAAGTATTTGAATATGGCACAAAAAGTTATATTAAAAAACAACTGAAATTGAATGCTGAGAAATTATAATGACTATGCTTAGTCCCAAAGAAGACTTCTAAGAATGCACCTCCTTTCTTTGCAGAGGTGGGAAGCTACGGCCACAGAACACAGCGGACAATGCAAGACTTTTTTCATACATTGATTAGTTTTCCTTAAGTTTATTTTTCCTCTTTTAAAATTAATTATAAAGGACTGTTTTCAAGGAAGGTTGGGGTAGGGATACAGTGGGAAATGTAGGGAATATAAAACAAAATATAGCACTAAAAATTTATTTTAAGAAATGGTCCAGATCTACTTTTTGAATGTACATCATGGGCCAAAAGAAGACTTATAAGCACTTCTTCAGTTCTAATCCTCCAGATCACTTAGAGGTTGGAGGATTTTTTCTGATAAATAACAAATTCTAAAACTAAGGATTTGCATGGCATTTATTTTAATGGCATATGGTTTCATACATCTTCCTGTGTTTGGATCAGCAAATAAAAACTGTTTGAAACATGCACTAGGAAAACTGATTTTCATGGTATGCATACTTAATAAAAATCTACCTCTACAGATCAGAAATAAACACTTGTTTAGGCATCTACTAAAAAATGTATTTACATGTCAGCATATTTACAACACCTAACTGTGTCTGAAGATAACATCAAAATTCTGGATGTATATGCAGTGTAGTTGATTAAACATATAGTTTATGTACTTAAAAAGCCAAGTTACTTATTTGACATTTTTGAGAAGCATTATTTTTAAAAATGACAAAATCCTAAGATTAAAGTCAAATGAACACGAACCAAAAAATACTTATAAATGCAAAACAAATATGTGTACCAACTACATGTTTAGCAAGTGCAAACATTTCCTCATGGATGAAACGGGTGGAGGATATGAATACTGTCAAAAGTCAGGTTCAAACAAAATACTGCGTTTAAATCTCATATTGAGTAGGATATGTTCAGGTGAAGAGAACCTTATAAATTAAAGAGGATTTGATTATTTACCAGTAATAAATTTATTCACTTATAATAGTCCCTGATTCAGAAGTAGGATTTAATTATAATGTGCTAAACTCTTTTGATTAAAAACCAAAGACTTCACTGCATGAGTCCTTTATTTGGAACACTCTAACCGGACTATACAAGTTCATGCTGTCTAAACTTAGCACAGAAGGGTTAAAGAGAACAAATAATCTAGATGCTATTCCATGCACATGTGACCTTTTTGAATCCATTTCAGGAACAGAGCAAATACAGGTTGCTATCCTGAGTTTCCTCCCCTATTTAGAAGGCATGCAGTACGGTATTAAAATAGAAGAAATCCAATGGGAGTTCATCTTTAGAGTATGGTAATGATTCCACCAAAGTCTTTGAGTTTTATATGAATTTGGCATCCTGTCAAGATCAACTTCTAGGTATGTCACATTTTAGCATCCTTAGCTGAGAAAAGAGAACTAATCAAAATCATCAGGCTTATAATTAGGCCTTTAAAAAATGCAACAAGCCTTTTGGCTTCTCTAAACCTAGTTTCTTCCTTATTTGACTCTTTCATTCTTTGGTTCCTCCATTCTTCACCAAATGGCAAGTTTAACACTGTACTCCCTGTGGCCACCTTTGTGTATCAACTTTGGTTTTAAAAGGTCTAGAAAAAATCCGGAAAGCACAGCAGGCCTTCTAACATAAGCAAGTGCCATAGGTCTTTCCTGGGATTTAGAAATTGCCAAGGATGCAGCCTGATACATAGGATTCTGATTTTTGAAAAGTTAACATGAAATGTTGGCCCTCAGGGTATACCTCCTAGCACAAAAAAAGCTTAGCTGAAATATCTTGCTTATGTGTGACAACTATCCTTGCACTCTGAGTGAAAGGTATGCTTCTAAAGGTTTGGAAAGACAAATGAAAAAGAACAATGATGCAGCAATGAAAAATAAAAGCAACAAAAGGCGAGAAGCATGGACCCATACGCACTTGTGCTCCAATGAGAATGGAATGCAGTGGATGGCATGGAGAAGGAGCATGATGAGGATGCATGGGAGGATTCCGGTCTTATCCAATAGGCTCGATTATCCTGATTACCTTTCTTACTAGGCCCACTGACATCACACTGGAAAACATCTTCACAGCTCTCACTGTGCAATCGCTCTTTCTGGAGAAGTTTGTCGACTCTCTGGATGATGCACTCCAGGCTTTTGTCAACATTCAACCAAACTTTTTCCTTAAAAGGAAAAAAATGCCTTCCTTACTCTTTCCAAAATGATCACTCTTCAATGTTATCTCTAAGTCCCAAGAATTTACCCAAAAACAAAGTTTGTGTCCACAGACCACACTGAGTCCTAATGCAATTATGGACTCACTTACTTGTTAAAATTTTATATGTTTTTTTTCCCCTGCAACAAAAATAAAACTCTATTTTAGCATTTCCCAAGCTCAATATGAGAAATACTCCTGGAGATCTTAGAAACCTGCAAAGCGTCATAGAACCTTGAACGTTAGAAGGAAATCAAGGGCTACTGGTCCAGGATGAACACAGTGGGTTATCTTCTTTCATACCAATTTTATTCTTCCAATCCCTTGACCTTAGTTGTTAATATCTACTACCATTACAATGAGGGTGCCTAGTTATTTATGAGGAAGTGTTGGTTTTTATAGATCCCAAATGAACAGTTAAGAAGAGTTAAGAACCCAACAATTCATTGCTTTTCATTTTTATGCCCATTCCAGAGAGTGGTACTATGGAAAAATGTGCTAGACTTTTAGTGAGAGGACCTCTGCAATCTTGGGCGAATCAAACCCAATTGGGCCACAGATTCCCTACCTGTAAAATGAAAGCCCTGGACTGATTTCTTCAACCTCCAAAACTATGACATCTATGACCCCAACATAACGCTTCTAAATTATTTCCTCAACAGATAACAAAAATAGGCCATAAGGCTGCATTGCTCCCTTAGAAAACAAAAATTTTAGTTTTAGAAATCTAGTACTCACCCAAGTTGTGTGATTTCAGAGGCAAAAGGAAGCAACCCACTCTCTGTTCAAAACTACACCCAATACAGTGAGACAATGGTTGCAAAGTGTCTCCTACTAAACCAGGGATTCAATACTTTATGTTAAAGAATTATGCTACACAGGCACGATAATTTAAAATATAAAGGATAATAATACTTAGGAAGGGCAATCTTAAGTGATTAAAAATCAACAGATATTACTCAGTGTTAATTAGTAGGCAAGATCCATTTCTTTTTTTCTTCCCATAAATTAACTGAAAACAGGGTACAGGAAGAATAGGGAGTTGAATTGAGAGTTTAAGAGGGATACCTACCTAGAATGAACTTTGGCATACTTTGCGGATGGAGTCAATTTATTGCTTTGTTTTGCTTAACTGTGTTTTTGTTGGTCCGTTAGTTAGGGAGAAAAGCAGTCAATGAGAAATGATAAAATTCTCTTTTTTTAAAGCTTCAATAAATGCTTTTGTTTGCAAAAGGGGTAGAAATCTGAGAATAATTCTCAAAAACCAGATGACTTTCTCAGGCATGGGTAGACTACGACAGGTCAGGGGACAGCATAGGTATATCAGTGCCTTGAGGGAGAATAAAGGAGCCCACAAAGAGGACTCATGAAGCCTTCAAAGACTGCTTTACTTCCTCCATGCTTCTGCTTCATAATCTGGCCAAGAGCATATACCTGACAGTTAGTAGGGCCTAAGGGTAAGGGCAGCGTCCAATCCGAAACATGGTGGTTTGAAAAGCATTTCTGAGGGGAAGTGGAACCATAACCTACTTGGAAATGGAGTCTGCCAGAACAGGAACGTAAGAACACATTTTTATTTTTCTACCTACTGGCCCTGGTCGATATTGAGCACTTACCCATTCTGCCTCGTGCCAATCCGCATGGAGAGAGCGACTGTTTCTTCCCGTGTACTTTGCCACAAGAGTGTCTTGATCATTCCTCAGCATCACCTGCTCCTCCTCGGTTGAGGTGGGAGATGCTTTGGAGGCAATGTAATCAGGTCTAGCAGCATTAAGTCCATGTATTGAATTAGCCAACAATTTACAGTCACAGACAGTAATCAGTTGTCTTGTCTGAGAAAAGAATATAAACACTGGTTATTGCTAAGCCTTTTTGCCCTCCTTAATCTGAGCTGGTCTCCTGCCAGTTTTTTTTTCTTTCCTAATGAGAAAGAATTCTTTTCCTAAGGTAAAGCATTCTTTTTCTTTTTTTTTTGGCTAGGCAATGGGGTTGTGACTTGCCCAGGGTCACACAGCTAGCAAGTGTCAAGTGTCTGAGGCCAGATTTGAACTCAGGTCCTCCTGACTCTAAGGCTGGAGCTCTATACACTGTGACACCTAGCTGCCCCACACTCAATCTCTTTAAGCTTTTGTTAACTCATATTTAAAACAAAGATAATGATACCAAGAGTATCTATCTCACAATGTTCCCATGAAGCTCTGATTCTTGGAATCCTGCTTTTCTTCGAGACTCAGCTCAAGAATATCTTTCCAGATCCATCTTGCTACACATGTTTTCCTCCCAAGGTTACCTTTTATCTCTCCTTCTATGTGCACGTGATGTCTCCCTCTGCCTCCATTAGAACGTAAGCGCACTGAGGGCAAGGACTCTTTCACTCTTTTTCACTTTTGTCTTTGCATCTCCAGTGAACAGTGTGTAGCACATAATAAGCACTCGATAAGTGCAAGCTGAGTGACTGATTGATAATACGAATTGATACAGCACTTAGTAAAACTTAAGGGCAGCTAGGGGGCACAGTGGATAGAGAGCAAGGCCTGGAGTCAGAAAGACTCGAGTTCAAATCCCGCCTCTAACACTTACTAGTTATGTGATCTTGGGCAAGTCATTTGACTCTATTTGCCTCAGTTTCCTTATCTATATAAGGAGGAGAAAAGGAAATGGCAAACCACTCCAGTATTTGCAAAGAAAACCTTAAACGGGGTCATAGAGAGTCAGACACGACTTAAACAACTGAATAACAAAAAAAACTATTCGTATCAGCTATCTTCATCATCAGTACTACTAACACAACTACTACTAGAGCTTCTTAAAAGATTTAGTAACTCACATAATCACATTTTAAAAGAACATAGCAACATGATGAACTTAAGAGGGAGGAAGATCTTCCCAACACAATGGTCAAGAACAGGGATGGGGAACCTGTGGCCTTCTAGGTCCTCAAGTGCAGCCCTCTGAGCTAATCCAGACTTCACAGACTAAGGCACCATGCCCATTAAGTGTCTAACCCAAAATCCAGTGCTCTCTCCACCATGCCACCCTTGCTTATTATGTTCCATTTGGTCCCAAATTTCTATTTCTATTAACAATCAGCTCTTATCATTAATTATGAGGAATTAATGATAATGTCATAATTCAATAATCCTGAAATAATGCTTCATTACTGCCTAGGGAAATCACTTAATCTCCCTGGGTCTTCTCTTTCAGAAAATGAGAAGACAGTTACTAAAGTCACTTTCAGAGCTAACATTTCATCATTCCCTCAGTACAGAAAAGATACTGATGTAGACTCATACCATGTGTGACTTAACTATACATAGTCAATACCACACTCCCCTTTTAAAATATAAGTTTTGCTGATGCTGAGTGAAGAGAGCAAAATCAGAATATTGTGCGATGACTAACTATGATAGACTTAGCTCTTCTCAGCAATACAAGGATCCAAGACAATTCCAAAAGACTCATGATGGAAAATGCTATCCACATCCACAGAAAAAACTGATGGAGTCGGAATACAGATTAAAGCATATTATTTTGAATTTGGGGGTTTTTTTTCTCCATTTTTTTCCCTTTTGTTGTTTCTTCTTTCATAACATGACTAACATGGAAATATGCTGTACATGATTGCACATGTATAACATATCAGATTGCTTGCCATATTGGGGACCAAGGAGGGAGAAAAATTTGGAATTTAAAGGCTTTAAAAAAAAATGAATGTTGAAAATTGTCTTTACATGTAATTGGAAGAAATAAAGTACTATTAAATTAAAAATAAAATATGAGTATTGTCATCCCCATACCTTATCTGCTAAGATGGCGAGTGTCCTTTCAAGGCCATTAGCTGATCTATCCTTGGCTGCCCTTGACAGCCTTTCAGCATAGTAACTGACTTGGGTTTTTAAGGTGTTGATCTGGGCAATAATCTCCTTCGCTCTGATGATATCCTGTGGTGCGTATATTATTGACTGGCAGCTGGGTGAGGTACTGAAAAAAAGAAGGAAAGGTTTTAAAGTGATACTTAGAATAGTCCAGCAATTCAGGAGAGTTTTTTTTCCCCTTGCTGAACCCAATTATGTCCCCCTAGATAACCAAGAATAATCACTCCAAGGCTCCCTGTCTTTCACCTAAGTTGATTTCTCTGTCAAAAATTTTCATTAACTTTATTCAAATGGACAATTAGTGGCTGTTTATGCCCAGTAAAAATAGTAATAAAGTAGAACTAAAAAGGAAGTTCTCTACAGATAACTTTAGTGGCAGACCTTGCTAACAAATCCCTTTTTTTGGTTCCTTTTACTTGTTTGGTTAGCACTTTTATCTTCCTTTACTCTGTTTCATCTCTAATCTTTCCAATCTTTGAATAAATTGTACCTATTTTTTTCCTTTGCTCTCAAGGTACTAGGTCTCTTCTATCTAGAATTTTTCTACTTTGATCTATTCGCTGTTGGGGAAAAGGAGATGTCAGATCAGGAGAGATAAGAGATATTAAATCCTTCAGTGGTTGGTCAAATCTCTGACCCTCTTTCTCATTCCACCCAGGCACTACCAGGCAAACAAAGACAATTATCCAGACCAATACAGTATAAAGCACATTGTGGATACAGCCAGACCATTAATTTCAGTAAGAATGAGTGGACTGGTTTGGATACTGCCTTTGAAAAAAACTAATCCTCTTCTTAGGGGTTAGTGCCTTCAGGTCTGGCTGCCAGCTGGAGAAGACTAAATGAAAGACACAAGTCTTTTCAGCCAAGACTCCAAAACAACAAAAAGACTTTCTATTTTTAAAAAATCTGTGAGAGCAAGGAGAATTAGAGAAGAAAAGCTGGTGTTGGAATTCATACTGCATACAAATGGAAAATCAGAGATCATGTCTAAAAAGGTACACATTCTTCCTGAAAGAGGAGCAATGAAATTATCACCAAGGATGAACTTTGATTCTTCCCGGGTGTGGACCAATGGAAGGATGAGACAGATATGTAAGAGCAAAAAGTGGCGTTCATCTCACCTGTCCCACATTTCCACATAGGTGCATGTGGTCCAAATAGCCTTTATTACCTTGTAAATTAGATTCTACCCACAGAGACAGGTAGCTATCTCTCACATCCCCACAACTGGGCGAACATGCAAAAACAAGGGATTTGCCAGAAGCCCATGCAGCAGACAGAGCTCAAATCTCTGTTTTAGTACAAGAATTTCATTTCACAGCATGAGATTTACAAACATCCACTTTCCAATCTGCAATCACTTTTTTCAAATGAATAGCTAGCTGTCCATTTAGAATTAATTTGCTACTAAATCCACAAATTCAAAATGGATTTTTAAAAGCCTTTACTGTCCTTTCCACACTAGGTGAGAAGAACATAAGTCATTCCCAATATTTTCACCTACCTCTTTTCAATATTTAATTTGCAGCATTCACCATAGAAAGGATTTGGGAGAGGTGAGAAAAGGGAAAAAGCTTCTGTTTGGTAGGTTCTTTGTGCAAATTAAAGTGATGCAAGATATTTATATGCATTCTAATTACCTTTTTTAAATGATTATGACTATATTAAAAAGGAAATCTATGCTCAACAAACATCTTAATGTTGTATATGTGTTATGTTAAAATCTAATTATACATCCAGAGAAGAGGAGAACCCTCTAGACCAGGAGTTCTTAAAATGGGATCTATGGAATGATTTCAGGATGAGAGGTGGGGAAGTTGTCTGAAATAGGGGGAAAAAAATTATCTTTACTTTCACTGCCATCTAACTGAACCATCTAACTTTAGCATTTCTTTCAATTATGAATCCAGGCAACAAACATTATTCTGAGAAGGGGTCCATAAGTTTCATCAGACTGCTAAAGGGGCTCATAACAGAAAAATGATTAAGAAGTCTGCTCTAGATGTCGCTAATTATTTACCACTCCAGGCTAGGAGAAAGATATACCACTTTTTGCATCAGTGGTTAGATAGGGAGAGGGGCAGTGTGATGGCATGACTGTAAAAGCAAATTCTTTGAAAATAATTCTAAACTAGGACAAAAGTGCCCCAAGAAAAGACAAAGCAGGAACACGTAAGTATACTGCTTTTTAAATTTTTCTTCATATTAAATAAAGGGAAACAACAGTTTACTGTCTCAGAATCAACTGTCATGCTTCATGCTCAAGCTGAAAAGTTTTGAAAGAGAATAAAAAATTGGGAATTAGCTATTCATTATCTAAGAAAATTGCAGTTGGAAGAGGAAAATAAAGAATTTCTACAACACTTATAACTACGTTCGCTTGAAACCAACACAGACAATGGTGCCACAATACACAACATTTAAAAAGCGCTGTACGTTTAGAAATACAGTACAATATTTTTTCTATTTAAGAACAAGGCCCCCAACAAAAACTCTCTCCACAAACAGAAAACTCACCAACATTCCTCATAACTGCTAAAGAAAAGAATCAAAATTAAAGTTAGCAGGTTTTTAGAGAAAAAAAAAACAAATGCAAAAATAAGCCAAGTGATTTCTTGAAAATACTTCTTTAAAAAAACAACAACAACAACAAACAAAAAAATCCCCTGGGTGTAGAGATGATGAAATTTGTAGACTAAATGTATGTTAACTGAGTGAGGGAATATTAATTAGTTGCTTCATGCTCAAAGCCCACAGGCGAGTCATCCCCAAGAAAGATATATTTGTTTCAATAGAAGTTTTCAAAGTGAAACTAAAGGCCTATGATTGATTTTTATATTAGTAGTGGGGGTCAGGGAAGGATGAAAAAAATATACATACTTCTCATCTAATTGAGCACAGAATAAGCACTTGGGGGAAATTCATTAATAATACTGTTCAGTATTTCTTTGACACTAGGTAACAGGAAAGTGTTTTTCATTTACTTGTTAACACTATTAGTCCTAGGTCTTCCCCCTCTCCTGCCTCCCCTTGTCCCTTCCCTCATGGAGGCAGAGCAGTAATGCTACAGAACAATTTGTCTGCTCATATAGTCTAAGCAAAAGTTTTGTCTTCAAGGCATCTGTCAGGGTGAAAGAGTTCTATAAACCCTATCATAACGACCAAAAAATGCATTCAAACACTTATCACAGAACGATATGCAAGGAGGCCACAGAAGCACATTTTTCCCTGACTGGCTGTGGTCAAGGCTGGGATCAAGGCTTCATTTTGTCTTAGTCTTGCTGGGAAGCACAACAAATCATGTTTACCCAAGTATACTTGGAACTGCTGAACTACAAAGCTGTCAGTTCTTCAGCCTGCCTATATTTAGGAAGCATTCTTGATAGCATTGACTCAAGAGCTGAAAGCAATCTACTGTGATGTCCTAGTAGAGCCTTTGAACCCAAGGAGGGCTATATCTAAAATTGCCTACACATTTCCTCCCATTTTTTTGTTAATGGAAACAGACAACCACTAGTGAGCAACTTTCACACAGCTTTTCATTTATTTGATGAAAGTGATTTTCCTAAAGTACAGATCTGAGTCACACCCTTTTACCCCCCCTCCCCTACCTCAAGAAACTCCAGTGGCTCCCTATCACCTCTAGGACCAAATATAAAAACCCTGTGTTTGGTAATTTAAAGCCCTTACCAATCTTGCCCCTTCCCACCTTTCCAGTCTTCTTATATTTTACTGCCCTCCGCCATGAAATCCAGAACAGTGGCCTCCTTGCAGCTTCTTAAATATGATGTTTCCTCTCCTGATTCTTTGCCTTTGCCCTTGCTATATCCTGTGCTTAGAATGCTCTCCCCCCTCACCTCTACCTCATAGCTTTCTTAGCTTCTTTCAAGACTCCAGCTCAAATCCCGCCTTCTGAAGGAGGCCTTTCCCTGTCTCCACTTAACTACCATTGCCTTCCCTATTGTGACCACCTTCCATGTGCATCCAAAGTTCTCTGCATGTTGTCTCCCCCATTATAATGTAAGCTGCTTGAGGGCAGCTTTCTTTGTATCCCCAACAATCAGCACCACGGGCACCATGTCCGGACTATAGTAAGCACTTAGTATGTATTTGATGACTATGTTATGAAAGTCATTTCTCAGATTTCTCTTCTTCAAAGTACAACAATTTCAGTTTCTTTGGACTTCTCATTGGCTCACCTTTCTTTTAATGGTAATTTTGGTCATTTTCCTCTGACTTACTACTCCAAGGTTCCTCAATATATGACTGCTCCCCAAAACTGTGAAATAAAGATTTCAGGCCAGATCCATGTGCAAAGTTATTAGGCTTCATGCACTGCAGGTAATAATAATGGGTAACTGTCCTATGAGGTCTCTTCCTTTAACAACCAAAAGGGAGAAGAAGTATCAACTTTGAGCTCAAAGATGTAAAGACTCAGGCAGGTCCCAGACCTGAGTTCACTGTGTACACAATTTTATAATTAGTCTTCTGGCTTCACTATCCTTCTTGCTTTTGAGCTCTATATCACTCCAGTTACTAGGATGCTAAAAGACCAGATCACAAAGTCATTCTTTCTGGATTATTTTACAAAGAAGACTTAAGTAAGTCTACTTTGTGAGCAGATCATCAGCGCTTATTTGAGTAGTCATCAATTGGGTTTGACATTCCCCTACCCACTATCTTGTTGATCCTAGAAACTAATGATTTTTGTCCTGAGAGCATATAATCCAATCTACTCATTAAATTTTAGTGAGGTTCAAGTAACTAAATCAGAACTGCAAAAAGCTATTCATTTAAATGATATATAATATGTAAAGTGTTTTGAAAAACCTTTAAAAGCTCTATAGAAATGATAGCTATTATTCAAGGGTAATTTTACATAACATATTCCATGTTCTTCAGGTTCATTAGGAAGAAAAAAGAATTGTATTTGCTAAATGATTTTCAAAGTCAGATTAATTTAAAAAAGTAATTTATCCTAAATTTTTAAATTAAAGAAAATGAGAAGAATGTAATACCTTCAATCATCCAGCCAACTCCTTGACACAAATACAAAGAATAATACCAATTCTACAAGGCAGCTCTTTCCATTGAGCCAGAAGCTGCTCAAATTGGTCAGATTTTCCCCCCTAAGCTTGAAAGGCATCAAACAAAGATAAAGATCAGGAAACTCCAGAGCTACTTACTGTTTCTTGGTCTCTTCAAATTTGTGCAGTCGTTTTCGAAGACCTCCTGACTTAAAGCCTTGGCAATGTGCTGCGGCTGCTCCTATGGTTATGATGTCATAGTTCTGATCTGAAGGAAAAGAAAGGCTTCATCAATTACTCCAGGCTTACCCAGACAGCCCCAAATCAAGCTTTCCATGGTAGTCTCTAGCTCCAGCGTCTAGGGTCAATAATAAGCCTTAAGGACACTGCTGATGGGCAGCCATGGTGGTATGGTGAGTTGAAAGCAAGTTTAAAGTTAGACCTGTTCAAATCTCACCTCTGGCATCATCTGGTTATGTGACAGTAGGTAAGTCACTTAACCTCACAGTGTTCCAGAGAACTCTCTTAACTGTAAGTTGTAGAACATGTAGCAATATGAATTGATAGAAGTGGTTTACTCATTGAGAGTTCCATGTACCAATGAAACCAGAGGTCCTTTTCAAAGAAAAGAAGAAAGGAGGGAGGGAGGGAAGGAGAAAGGGAGGAAGGAAGGAAGAAAGGAAGGAAAAAGGGAGGAGCATTGCTAACAATCTACACCAAAAAGCTAACTTAGTTGTCTGTAAATCTTACAAATTAAGAGATGTGGGAGGAGAGCGGAGCCAAGATGGTGGCGTGAATGCAGTGACTTGCTTGAGCTCTCCCCCAAACCCTTCCAAATACCCGTAAAATAATGGCTCTAAACAAATTCTAAAGCACCAGAACCCACAAAAAGACAGAGTAAAACAAATTTCCAGCCCAAGACAGCCTGGATGGTTGATCAGAAAGGCATATCGCGCCGTGCAGGGAGAGGAGCATAGTTTGGCATGGGCGTGCAGGCTGCAGCGAACCTGCAGTAGGCTTCACAGGAATGAAGCACAGGCAGCTGTGGCGGTTTCCAGACTCCTCAATCCACTAACGCCAAAGACAACTTAGAAGGTCAGTGGGACAAGTCTATTTTTTCAGTGAGAGAAGAGCTAGGTCACAGCCAGTTCCAGAGCACGGTGCCAGGGTGGTGGCTGTGTCCTGAGCTTCTGGCCCACAGACTGAAGGGAAATCCAGCGGCTGATCAGAGGGGGATTGCAGGGATCTCTTTGCCAGTGCTGAGGCAGGAATCTCTTGCTTTGCCTGTGCTTGGATCTGGGTCACAGTTCTGGGTGGCGGTCCTGGGGTGAGGAGGAGCACTGGCGGGGTGGAGCTTGTAGTGGCAGTGGAGAGGAAACCCACCTCACAGTTCCAAGAGAGAAAAGACTGCTTGTGGCCAGTCACTCAAAGACCATGGCTCAGGCCAGGAAAAGAGCAAACACCTCGACCCTTATCATGCCACCTTAGAAGAACTGAAGAACTGAAAATCTACAGGTCCCTAGAAGTATCTCTGAAAACAGCTGTAGAAACCCCCAAAGCTTGGGACAGTACATTCTCCACATTGGAAGCAGACTTTTACCTTAACAAAGAGTTTAAAACTCAAGTAGTTGGCTGGGATCATGAGCAAACCTTGCAAAAACAGTCAAACCATATTAAACATACAACCAGAAGAAGACAACAAAGTCAAAGCTCCCACATCCAAAGCCTTCAAGAAAAATATAAATCCGTTCCAGGCCTTGGAAGAGCTCAAAAGGGATTTTGAGAAGCAAGTAAGAAAAGTAGAGGAAAAACTGGGAAGAAATGAAAGTGATGCAAGAAAATCATGAAAAACAAGTCAACAGCTTGCTAAAGGAGACCCAAAAAAATACTGAAGAAAAAAACCTTAAAAAATAGCCTAACCCAAATGGCAAAAGAGGTCCAAAAAGCCAATGAGGAGAAGAATCCCCTAAAAAGAAAAATTGGCCAAATGGAAAAGGAAGTCCAAAAGATTACTGAAGAAAATACTTCCTTAAAAATTAGAATAGAGCAATTAGAAGATAGTGACTTTATGATAAATCATAACACAGTAGAACAAATCCAAAAGAATGAAAAATTAGAAAACAATGTGAAATATATCATTGGAAAAACAACTGACCTGGAAAATAGATCCAGGAGAGAGAATTTAAAAATTATTGGACTATCTGAAAGCCATGATCAAAAAAAGAGCCTAGACATCATCTTTCAAGAAATTATCAAGGAAAACTGCCCTGATATTTTAGAACCAGAGGGCAAAATAGAAATTGAAAGAATCCACGATCTCCTCCTGAAAGAGATCCCCAAAGGAAAACTCCTAGGAATATTGTAGCCAAATTCCAGAGTTCCCAGGTCAAGGAGAAAATATTGCAAGCAGCCAGAAAGAAACAATTCAAGTATGGTGGAAACACAATCAGGATAACACAAGATTTAGCAGCTTCTACATTAAGGGACTGCAGGGCATGGAATATAATATTCTGGAGGGCAAAGGAGATAGGATTACAACCAAGAATCACCTACCCAGCAAAACTGAGTATAATCCTTCAGGGGAAAAAATGGTCATTCAGTGAAATAGAGGACTTTCAAGCATTCTTGATGAAAAGACCAGAGCTGAATAGAAAATTTGACTTTCAAATACAAGACTCAAGTGGAACATGAAGAGGTAAACAGGAAAGAGAAATCATAAGAGACTTATTAAGGCTGAACTGTTTACATTCCTGCATGGAAAGATGATATTTATAACTCATGAGACCTTTGTCAGTATTAGGGTAGTGGGAGGGGAAAAATTATATGTATGTATAGATAGATAGATAGATAGATAGATAGATAGATAGATAGATAGATAGATAGATAGATAGATAGAGGCACAGGGTGAGTTGAAGATGAAGGGGTGATATCTGGAGAATAAAATTAAGGGGTGAGAGAGGATTATACTAGGAGAAGGAGAAAGGGAGAGGTAGAATGGGGTACATCATCTCTCACAAAACAGACAAGAAAAGGTTCTTACAGTGGAGGGGAAACAGGGAAGGTGAGAGGAAATGAGGGAATCTTATTCTCATAGGATTTGGCTTAAGGAGGGAATAACATACACACTCAATTGGGTATGGAAATCTGTCTTACCCTACAGGAAAATAGGGGAGGAAGGGGACAAGAGAGCAGGGGGATGATAGAGAGAAGGCAGATTGGGAAAGGGGTAATCAGAAGGAAGTACTTCTGAGGAGGGACAGGGTCAAAAGAAAGAATAGAATAAATGGGGGGGCAGGATAGGATTAAGGGAATAGAGTTAGTTTTTCACAACATGTCTACTATGGAAGTGTTTTGCATAACTGCACATGTATGGCCTGTATTGACTTGCTTGCCTTTTCAATGAGCATGGGTGGGGTGGGAGGAAGGGAGAAAATTTGGAACCCAAAGCTTTAAAAACACATGTTTAAAAAAAAAAGTTTCCATATACAACTGGGAAATAAGGAATACAGGAAATGAGGTACAGAAATCTATCCTGCCCTACAGGAAAATAGAAGGGGAAGGGGATAAGAGAAGGCAGGGGAGAGATAGAAGGGAGGGCAGACTAGGGGAAGGGGTATTCAGAATGCATGCCATCTTGAGATGGGTGGGGGCAAGATGGGGTGAAAATTTGGGATTCAAAATCTTGTGGAAGTAAATGTTGAAAACTAAAAATAAATTTATATTAAAAAAAAAGAAAAAAAAAACAAGATGAGATGTGTTCTCACCCAAGAGAATGGTACACAGGATTATGGAAATGTATCAGGCAATCCTTTCCTACTTCTTCTTCAAGGACCATTACTGGAGACTTAGGATTAGCTCTTACAGGATCGTAAGAGAAAGAATTGGCCAGGGGATGGTACAGCTGAAAGTCTCAACAGGAAGAAATGGAGGCCCTTGAAAAAATATAAAAATCTACGAAATACACTTGTTTCCTTCTCACACTTCTTATTGCCAGCTCCCCAGCAGGTGACTATGTGAAAAAGGCTAGGGCCTGATTATATCAGATATTAGTTATGTAGGGATGGAAGAAGTCAATACGGGCATAATAAGAAGGGTAAGAGAAAGAAATACCTGATGCTCCATCATCTTGGACTCGCATTCTCTGTATATGCAAATTTGTAGGTACAAATTCCAACTTTTTATCAGCTTTCAAACTGCTTGCCTTAAATGAGGGGCCTAAAAGCAATAAAACAAGAAAAGATAAATATCATACAAAGAATATTCTCTATGTGCAAATGGCACAAAAAAAGAACAAAAAAGGTATTAGCATGTTTCTGAATATAGCCAGGTATGCTGGGGTGGTGGCTTGGAGATTTCTGAGTTGCCTACAAGAACATTTTAACTTGCAGATGGTAGGTGGGTGTAAACACTGGAAGAAAGGGCAACTTGCTGGCCAGGAGACTAGTTCCAGGATGTTTAGGTGGAACATGCTGTTAGTAAGGGTGAGCAAAGTCATCAGAGCTCTATGGAAACAGCAATACACCATTTGGAAGCTCTGGCTAAACACTGTGGCATGCACACAGATAGTCACAGGGTTATGCAAATCAAGTGGGTGGATATGTCATACTCTATTACCACATGGCTATGCCAGAAATTATTTAATTCCAACTACAGAGACACTTTACCATCAAAAATTAAAGCTATCAGCTCAACTAGAACAACACCTATCCATCTTGAACAAGGGGAAGAAAACCTGCTCATGAAGCATCATAAAGAAAATATGTGGTAGACTTTCATACGTCAGTCTTTTAAACAACAGCGACAACAAAATAAACAAACACACACACACACATCAATATAAACAGACTGGAAGGAATTTTGTAATAAATGTCTTAGATCTTATTTTGGTTATTCATCCTTCATTCAAGTCCTACTGCAATGCCATATCACAGCATGGTGGGCACCTAAGGTTCTCAAAGGCTATACTACTGGAGAGTACAAATTTTAATAGACTCTACTAAGCTAGAAAGCCTTCAAAGACAGAGCCTGAGAACCAGCCTAGCTATTCAAACAGGGTCACCACTAGATTGGGCATAAGATGATGGATATTTTTTTAAGGTACTAACTTTTGAAGACTGTCTTCCAAATAATTAAGAGGTTGCAATCTCAAAAGTGAGGGGAGTGCAAGCAATAACAAAATCAAAGAGCCTAGAAATACTCCAAAATCTATGCTGAATGACTTCATCACAGGACAAAAGAGAATGTACCTGGGTCCATTTCACAGATGAAAATCACTTCAGTGTTTTCTTAAGAAAAGTTCTAATCAAAAGATTTTGGGGAAAACCTCCAATATAACTGAAAGAATATAATCTTATTTAAAGCAGGGGTTCTTAATCTTTTTTGTGTAAAGGATGTCTAGTGAGGTCTACAAACTCTTTCTTAGAATCAGTATTTTATTTTTTTCTTTTTGGTGAGGCAATTGGAGTTAGGTGATTTGCCCAGGGTCACATAGCTAGTAAGTGTCAAGTGTCTGAGGCGAGGTAGAATAAGGATTTTAAATGCATAAAATACAAAACATAGGGATAACAAAGGAAACCAATTATAATGAAATGCGATTACCAAAATATTTAATAAAACAAGTTCACACATTCCATGTTATTCAAAGAATCCCTGTTTTAGAGGCAGGATGGCATAGTGAATACAGAAACTGACTTGGTGTTAGGAAAAACCTAGGTCCAAGTATGGTCTTTGACATATACTAGCTGTGTAAAAAAAATTAAAAACAAACAAACAAGCAGACAGACATATACTAGCTGTGTGACCCTGGATGATTCACTTAACCTTTCAGGGTCCCAGGAACTCTTTCAGACTACAAGTTGTCAACATGACTAATGTGAAAATAGGTTTAATATGACTGTATATGTTGAGCTTATATCAGTTTACACGCCATCTTGGGATGGGGGGAGGGGAGAGATGGAGAGAAAATATGGAACTCAAAATCTTATGGCAGTGAATGTTGAAAACTAAAAATAAATAAATAAATTTATTATTATTTTTTAAAAAAAGATAGTAAGTGTCTGAGGTTAGAATTGAAGTCAAGTCTTCCTGATTCCAGCTCTAGCATTCTCTCTACTGTGCCCCTGACTGCCTCTCAATCCCTGAATTACTTATTCAAGTAGTTTAATCTCTCCGGCCTCAGTTTCCTTCTCTTTGAAAGAAGTTGTTCATGATTAATGTAGAAATACATTTAATATGACTGTACATGTGCATGCAATCTTGGGGAAGGGGGAGGGAAGGGAGAAAAATGTGAGACATAAAATCTTATAAAAGTGAATGCTGAAAAATAAAAATAAAAAAAGTTGCTCTCTATAAAAAAAAAGACTATAAGTTGTCAGAAGTTAAATGGCTTTTAATTTCGTCAGGAGAGAAGAGAGAAGGAACTGTCAAGCAAATATGTTCTTCTATCAGTGCTTTCAGCTGAATGCTTCTGTAATCTACTCGCACAAAATGTATTTCCCAGTTGCATGATTTATTCTTAACATTTCACATTTTCACTTTTTTTTTCCACTTTCTTCAAAAGGAAAAAAATGGTTCCTAATTATGATTTTTGGTTTCTCCTCACTCAAGTGTGTGAAGGTCACTGGGGTCCTTTCCAGCTCTGGGGCTGTGAAGCTGAGATTGGAGTCATGGGTATATTTTTCACATGTAAATTTTAAGTGTTAGACACTTAGGACCTTTGTGCATAATGGGAATGAAGGAAAGTATTTCAAGACAAGAGAATATTTGGTCACAAATACTGAGGTAACAGAAAATAATATTTTAAAATCTAAAACCCATCCCACTTGGAATCAAAGTCAGACTGAGAGGGACTGAAGTACCACCATCTTTTATGCTTATGCTAAAATTATCCAATGTTCTCTTTCAAAGAGAAAGAGCAATGTATTTTTTTAGCTTCATATTTAAATTTTTAAAAGATAGAGTGCTTACACAATCCTCATTTTCATTTCAACTACCATTCAAAACAAAAGAATTCAGAAGATTAATGTTCTCATAACAAGTAACGTGGGTCCTTTCTTGCAATTTCATTTATTCTGGGCAAAGATGAAGCAACATGGCCTATCTCTTATATTGCTTTTCAGTCCTTCCTTCTGGTGCTTGACACTAGAGAACTGTGATGGCAACCACTAAGGGCACACCTTGTAAAAATGAAATTTGAAAGGCTCATACTCAGAGGAATTCATATTTACAACAGACTCTATAAAAACCCATTTAAAATACTTCATCAATCAATAAGAACATTAGAACTAAGTGTTTATTGAGATGCAGATGATATATTTCTAAAGAGAAAAAAGGTAAAGGCACCTGGAAGAATAAGAGTTAATTCCACTGACCTTTGTACTGATGTAAGTTAGTCAAGTTTTCCTGGTAAGTTAGTATGATGGTTTGGTACTGAGTAGCTATTTGTCGACGGAGACTTTCCCAGCAAGGTGATAGTTCTCCCAATTCTTCCAATTCACAAACCCTGCAAAGACAGAGACAAAAACAGACAACTTATTCAACTCCAGGTCTGACTGGTATCTTCAACCTACACTGTGTTCATGGAATACTAGTATTCTGTGCAATGCAAATGGAGGCTCTGTGGTAAACCACTGGTATACTGTTAATTCTTTCAAAAAAATTTTATTCATAGCTTACTTTAATTTTTTAACATATCCCTTCCATCCCTATCCACCCTGAAAGCCATCCCTTAAATATATATAAAAAAAAGATAGAGAAAAAGCATAAACTCAGCAAACTGCATTAATCAAGTGCGACAGTACAGGCAATGTTTTAAACATCCTCCACCTCTTCACAGAAAAGAAGAAGTGCATTCTTATATTTCTTCTTCGGGGCCAAGCTTTATCACTATATATTCACACCACTGATTTCTACTTCTTGTTGTCGTGGTGCTTCCCGTTTATTTTGTGGGAGTCATCATGTATATTATTTCTACTTACATCCCTCTGTGTCACTTCATGTAAGTTAACCCAAACCCCTCTTTACTCTTCATATTCACTGTGACAAACTTGCAATGCTAATGATAATTTTCCTATCTAAAATATGAAATCATACATACTTTTATAAAATCCATGATTGCATTTAAGTGGGCGTCCCCTCCCTTCAATGGTATCTTGAGTATGAATTAATCCTTTAAGACTCTTGTCCACCCAGGTCTTTTCATAAATCCTCCCCAAGAGGTCAGGTCCAACCAATGTGCTGGGGGCCATTGTATTGATGATGGAACACTGCATGGGTACCAGTGGAGTGCATAGGCTATTTGTCATCTTTCACTCTGACCACATGATCAGCCTGCCTCCTTTGTCCATCATACATCTATTTGATGACATTCTTTATATTATTTATTCTGAGCATTTCTTTACTAACGTTATTTGTCATCTTTCACTCTGACCACATGATCAGCCTGCCTCCTTTGTCCATCATACATCTATTTGATGAAATTCTTTATACTATTTATTCTGAGCATTTCTTTACTAACATTATGTTGCTGCCTACTTGCACCCACAATACACCTCTCTATTGTCATTTGGATGACCTGCAACTTTAAATCTTCAGAGATTATGGTGCTTCCTGACTCACAGCTATGGAGCACCATGAGAAGAATACTGATATTAAGATAAACCTTTGTATTAGACAGAAGCTCAGCATCATTAGAAGTATTTGTCAATTTCTCAAAGAAAATTCAGACCACTTTCTTCCTATTCAATTCTTGTATATCCAAGATATGTACACACGGCCCTGCTCTATGCATGGGGTCTTTTTCACTACATATTCTACTGTGGTTAACACTTATTCTTCATTTACTTGGTTTTACCTATGGGAATATTTAGGCATCTAAACATTAGGCATCTCAGCTATTATCGATTTCATTGAGGAGATTCTCTCAGGTTCTAGAGTTTGAAAAAATCAGCGTGCTATCATTTGTAACTACAAGCAACTAGAGAATTTCACAATTTTTCATTTGGATTCTGCTTTGGCTGTCCTCTGTGATAATGGAAAATATTTTTGGTAAACATGTTTTTCTGACTTGTGATCAATGTTAATCATCAGAGGGCTGAACAAAGGAATTTTTTATCATAGCTCTCAAAGAATCTTGTATGATTTTGATATATACATGAGAGACATCTTGTTGGAGAAGAGCCTTTAAAAGAGGAAATTTGTTCTCCTGAATCAAAAGCTTTAAAACAAAAAAAACATCAACCAAAAAAGAGCATAATGAGATCTTATATTCTCTGCACCTCTAAGTCACTTTATGTGACTATAACATTTTGGTTGCTGTAGGATAATTTTTATGAAAGCCTTCTTGTCTCTTTCACATATTTTCTTCAAGGATGTCTTTGATGTGCGTGTCGATTGTTCTCATAATTTCTGGTTTTTGGTAGAAATGGGAAAGTTGGCAGAGTTGGTAGTTATCAACATTTTCTTGACTATCCTGTTTGGGCAATGATATCTTTCCTTCTTTCAGGGATCTTGAGTATGAAACCCTCAATGGCCTCAAAACCATCTTCTCCAACACAGACTTCCTTTTGGGATACTTGTCTTAATATAGTTGCATCTTGGTTGTCTTTAGTGTCATTTTTCTTCTTCACAATAGACACTGTGATAAAAATCCAAAAGTGATAGCTCAAGGAAAGAGAAAACTTTGTCACAGAAATCTTAGCAGATCTTTTCCATTTCTCATTTGTCTTTTGTCCTCTAGTTTCATCTTTAACTGCCTCCGGTATGCCTTTGTTTGGTTGGGTGTCCTGACAAACTTTTAGTGAAGCTGTTTTTCCCTTTATTGCTATTTTATGGGCACTATCACTCATAATCTACCATCCTCTTCTTCAAAACTTTACGACTGTATATGCTAACTCAAGGTGGCCATTAGCTGGATTTCTTACCCTTTGTTAACTATTTGTAGCCTGAGGTGATTTCTGGTCTATTCATTTTGGTTAAGCCAGTTGCCTCTTTTACACTGCCTTTGGGAAGGTTGACAGTCTGTGTTGATGTTTATTGATGTCCATTTCCCATTTTTTACCTTCAACATCTTGCTTAAACACACCTCAACTGTATGCCATAACTCCTCAATTCTGTTCTTCCAATTTGTTATTGATTTTGATCACTGCTCTGACAAATTGGCATTCTGACTGCAAAGATGATATGAACATGCTTCCACACTGCTTACTAGTCATTTCCCAACTGTTACAGGATGATCAATTAAGTTTTCAAATGATGTTATTGGTGTCTTGTCATTTCTAGTTCCTCTCCAGTCCTGTTATTTTTTAACATTTAATTTTTCTTTTTTTCCCTCAATTACATATAAACAAAAAATTTTAACATTCGGTTATTTTTAAAATTTTAGGTTCCATATTCTCTCCTTCCCTCCCCTCTCCCTTCCTCAAGAAGGCAAGCAATTTGATATAGATTATACATGTACAGTCATGCAAAACATTTCCATATTAGCCATGTTGCAAAAGAAAACACAGACAAAAAAAAGAGTAATAAAGAAAGTAAAAAAAGAATGCTAAAATCTGCATTCAGATTTCATCAGTTCTTCCTCTGGAGGTGGATAGCATTTTTCACAACCCTTCTTGAAGTAATGAGATAAAAGGCCATCTGGTCAGAAATTAGGTTTCGATCAAGATCTCACATTATATACCACAATAAGCTCAAAATGGATGCATAAAAGGTCGTATTAAATAAATTAGAAGATCAGGGAAGAAGATATCTTTTGCAACTATGACCAGGGGAAAGATTAAAATTTTTTTTTTTACTTTTTAAAATTTTTTTTTGATATACATTTACTTATTTTTAGTTTTCAACACTTACTTCCACAAGATTTTGAGTTCCAAATTTTCACTCCATCTCACCCCTACCCCTACCCCAAGACGGCATGCATTCTGAATACCCCTTCCCCTAGTCTGCCCTCTCTTCTATCTCTGCCCCCCCGCCTTCTCTTATTCCCCTTCCCCTTCTATTTTCCTGTAGGGCAGGATAGGCTTCTGTAACCCATTTCCTGTATTTCTTATTTCCCAGTTGCATGTGAAAACATTTTTTTTTAAACATGTGTTTTTAAAACTTTGGGTTCCAAATTTTCTCCCTTCCCACCCACTCTCATTGAAAAGGCAAGCAACTCAATAAAGGTTATCCGTGTGTAGTTTATACAAAACACTTCCATAGTAGATATGTTGTGAAAAACTAACTCTACTTCCAGGGGAAAAATTAATTACCAGACAAGACATACAGAAGATCACAAAATATAAAGTGGACAATTCCGCTAACATAAAATCAAAAAGGTCTTACACATACAAAATCAATGCAGCTGATATTAGAAGGGAAACAGTTAACTGAGGAAGAACCTGACATCTTCCCAATAGGGACTATCTTATGCTAGAGGACAGTCTCAAAATGGACTTAAAGGAAGCCAGGGAAGTCAGCTGGCAGAGTTGAGGAAAAGAGAGCATTCCAGGCATGATGGACAGCCAGAGAAAATGCCTAGACCTGAGAGATGGAGGGTCTTGTTTGTCCAACAGCCAGGATGACAGGGTCACTTGGCTAAAGAATATGTGGTGAGGACTAAGATGTAATCCTCCCATTTTCTCCAGGAGACTGTCCCCACTATCGTCCTCTCTCTAATCTCCAACCTCTCCCTACTGACTGGCTTATTCCCTCCTCCCTACAAATGTGTCCTAGACTCCCCATCCTTATCACTCGACCCAACCATGTCTGCTAGCTATGAACTTCTGTCTCAGTCCCCATTGTATTCGCCAAATTCCCTCAAAAAGTTGGCTCTCCTTGGGACCTCCACTTTCTAGCTTCATTGTCTCTTCTAAGAATCCTTCAACCCTGCTTCTTACCTCTCAGCTCTTACATATTTGAGCTCTCTGCAGCGTCTGACATCGTTGACTCTATTTTCCTCCTGGATATTTTCTCCTCTTTCACTTTTCATGATGTCACTCTCTCCTGGTTGTCTTCCTCCCTGTACAACTACTTCTAAAACTTCTTTGCGCATTTATCATCTATGTCATTACTATTAACCGTGGGTGTAGTCCCAAGTCTGTGTACTGTGTTCTCTTCTCTTTTCTCCCTCTACACTCTCACCTGGTGACTTCATTAGATCCCACAGATTCAATTCACCAACACTACACTGATGACTCTTAGATCTATAGATCCAGCTCTACTTTGTCTCTTAAGTCCCAGTTCTACATCGCCCACTGCCTACTGAATATTCCTAGATGGACTAGAAGGTATCTTGTACCTGATGAAATTCAAATTCAAAATTCAGAATTCATCATCTTTCCCTCCAAACCACTGCTGAAGAGACTACAATCCTTCCAACTTCAGTGTCATGCTGGATTCTTACTCTCCCTCATCCCACACATCTAATCAGTTGGCAAATCTCGTCATTTCTATCTCCACCGTGTTGTCCCATTCACTTAGCTATCAACCTAGTTCAGACCCTAATTACCTCTTATCTGGATG